GTCTGTTTGTTTCTTTTCGCTATTTGAGAACTTTTTTTTCTTACTGTCTCCAGACACATTAAACAAAAAATATTTGCCAGACTACCCAACAAGAGTTTTGTGAAAAATTGCGTCCTTGTCGAGTCTTCCGCTTTTGCAAACATTCATTCTGATTTTTTTGGAACCCATTTAGTTCACCCGAAAGATGATGATGATGATGATGGGAGGTCAGGAGAATATCATAGCTTGACATGTTAACATATTAACTGACTTTACATTTTAGAAACAAATACAGTCTTCGTATTATTAGTTTTTCTAGGTAAACATTTAAATGATTCTGAGAATCTCTTGTTCTACATGCGAATTGCATGTTGTGAAAATCGAAGATTACTCATATTGACTAATTTTTGGTTCCGGTGAGAGCCTTTCTAAAGTGCTAAGACCAGTAACAAAGAATATTTCCCTATATCTGATCAATATTTTATCTGATTCAAATGTTTTCAGTTTGATTAGCTTATCAAACCATCTGTAGAGTTTTAAAAATATTACAATCATTGCATACAAATGGTTAAAATTTTTGCATCTTAAAAATGAAGTTACAATTTTTATATTCACACCGTTTTCACGTGTGAATCTTTTGGTTTTGTTCAGAATGAAAAATCAGTTTTTCGCATTTTGCGAGGAAATGTAGCAAAATAACTTAACACGTTCTAAGATGAAAAATTTGTGCTTGAAATTTCACATCTTCTGAAAAACAGATTTCAAATTGGTTGAGGCATTGCTGAGAAATTCGCAAAATACGCTTTCTGTAAACAAGCAAACAAGCAAACAAGCAAGTTAATTAGCAAAAAATATCAATAACGAAACATCGTAGAGACTTCTAGTTTTTTACATTTGATCCGTGCTGCTCTATAGAAGAGCTGTATGGTTTCTGGGCAAGGTAGGAACAGCCGTTGCTTCAAAAAAAGCAAAAAACCATCCTTTCTTACGAATTTTTCAAATTAAAAGTTCACTGTATTTTTTTTTCAATTAAACTTTGGATGAAAAATTTTTTTTTGAGCAAAGAACCAAGTAGGAAATACATTTTCAATTTTGCACTAGGGGCGACCCTAGTCAAAATCAAATTTCTCACTTTCTTCTTCGAGGGTTTATCCAAATGGATTGAAACTTTGCATAAATATTCTAGTGCTTAAAACAAATACAAATTAAACATCCTAAAATTTTTTTGGGCAAAGAACCAAGTAGGAAATACATTTTCAATTTCGGACTAGGGGCGACCCTAGTCAAAATCAATTTTCTCACTTTTTTCTTCGAGGGTTTATCCAAATGGATTGAAACTTTGCATAAAAATTCTAGTGCTTAAAACAAATACAAATTAAACATCCTAAAATTTTTTTGGGCAAAGAACCAAGTAGGAAATACATTTTCAATTTTGGACTAGGGGCGACCCTAGTCAAAATCAATTTCCCACTTTTTTCTTCGAGGGTTTATCCAAATGGATTATAACTTTGCATAAATATTTAAGTGCTTAAAACAAATACAAATAAAACATCCTCAAAATTTTTTGAGCAAAGAACCAAGTAGAAAATACATTTTCAATTTTGGACTAGGGGCGACCCTAGTCAAAATCAATTTTCTCACTTTTGTCTTCGAGGGTTTATCCAAATGGATTGAAACTTTGCATAAATATTCGAGTGCTTAAAACAAATACAAATTAAACATCCTAAAATTTTTTTGGGCAAAGAACCAAGAAGGAAATACATTTTCAATTTTGCACTAGGGGCGACCCTAGTCAAAATCAATTTTCTCACTTTTGTCTTCGAGGGTTTATCCAAATGGATTGAAACTTTGCATAAATATTCAAGTGCTTGAAACAAATACAAATAAAACATCCTTAAAAATTTTTTTGAGCAAAGAACCAAGTAGGAAATACATTTTCAATTTTGGACTGGGGGCGACCCTAGTCAAAATCAATTTTCTCACTTTTTTCTTCGAGGGTTTATCCAAATGGATTGAAACTTTGCATACATATTTGAATGTTAAAAGCAAATACAAATAAAACATCACAAAATTTTTTTGAGCAAAGAACCAAGTAGGAAATACATTTTCAATTTTGGACTAGGGGCGACCCTAGTCAAAATCAATTTTCTCACTTTTTTCTTCGAGGGTTAATCCAAATGGATTGAAACTTTGCATAAATATTTAAATGCTTAAAACAAATACAAATAAAACATCCTAAATTTTTTTGAGCAAAGAACCAAGTAGGAAATACATTTTCAATTTTGGACTAGGGGCGACCCTAGTCAAAATCAATTTTGTCACTTTTTTCTTCGAGGGTTTATCTAAATGGATTGAAACTTTGCATAAATATTCTAGTGCTTAAAACAAATACAAATAATATATCCTAAAATTTTTTTGGGCAAAAAACCAAGTAGGAAATACATTTTCAATTTTGGACTAGGGGCGACCCTAGTCAAAATAAATTTTGTCACTTTTTTCTTCGATGGTTTATCCAAATGGATTGAAACTTTGCATAAATATTCTAGTGCTTAAAACAAATCCAAATAAAACATCCTAAAATTTTTTTGAGCAAAGAACCAAGAAGGAAATAGATTTTCAATTTTGGACTAGGGGCGACCCTAGTCAAAATCAATTTTGTCACTTTTTTCTTCGAGGGTTTATCCAAATGGATTGAAACTTTGCATAAATATTCTAGTGCTTAAAACAAACACAAATAAAACATCCTCAAATTTTTTTGAGCAAAGAACCAAGTAGGAAATAAGTTTTCAATTTTGGACTAGGGGCGACCCTAGTCAAAATCAATTTTGTCACTTTTTTCTTCGAGGGTTTATCTAAATGGATTGAAAGTTTGCATAAATATTCTAGTGCTTAAAACAAATACAAATAAAACATCACAAAATTTTTTTGAGCAAAGAACCAAGTAGGAAATACATTTTCAATTTTGGACTAGGGGCGACCCTAGTCAAAATCAATTTTCTCACTTTTTTCTTCGAGGGTTTATCCAAATGGATTGAAACTTTGCATAAATATTCAAGTGCTTAAAACAAATACAAATAAAACATCCTAAAATTTTGAAAACATCGAAGAAAAAAGTGACAAAATTGATTTTGACTAGGGTCGCCCCCAGTCCAAAATTGAAAATGTATTTCCTACTTGGTTCTTTGCTCAAAAAAATTTTAGGATATATTATTTGTATTTGTTTTAAGCACTAGAATATTTATGCAAAGTTTCAATCCATTTAGATAAACCCTCGAAGAAAAAAGTGACAAAATTGATTTTGACTAGGGTCGCCCCTAGTCCAAAATTGAAAATGTATTTCCTACTTGGTTCTTTGCTCAAAAAAATTTAGGATGTTTTATTTGTATTTGTTTTAAGCATTTAAATATTTATGCAAAGTTTCAATCCATTTGGATTAACCCTCGAAGAAAAAAGTGAGAAAATTGATTTTGACTAGGGTCGCCCCTAGTCCAAAATTGAAAATGTATTTCCTACTTGGTTCTTTGCTCAAAAAAATTTTGTGATGTTTTATTTGTATTTGTTTTAAGCACTAGAATATTTATGCAAACTTTCAATCCATTTAGATAAACCCTCGAAGAAAAAAGTGACAAAATTGATTTTGACTAGGGTCGCCCCTAGTCCAAAATTGAAAACTTATTTCCTACTTGGTTCTTTGCTCAAAAAAATTTGAGGATGTTTTATTTGTGTTTGTTTTAAGCACTAGAATATTTATGCAAAGTTTCAATCCATTTGGATAAACCCTCGAAGAAAAAAGTGACAAAATTGATTTTGACTAGGGTCGCCCCTAGTCCAAAATTGAAAATCTATTTCCTTCTTGGTTCTTTGCTCAAAAAAATTTTAGGATGTTTTATTTGGATTTGTTTTAAGCACTAGAATATTTATGCAAAGTTTCAATCCATTTGGATAAACCATCGAAGAAAAAAGTGACAAAATTGATTTTGACTAGGGTCGCCCCTAGTCCAAAATTGAAAATTGATTTTCTATCGTGTACTTTGGTCAAAAAAATTTTTTGGACGTTTTATTTGAATTGACGTAGTTCTGACATAAATCACATACCAATATTACTTTTTTTAATGCATAGCTTAAAAAAAACGAAATCTAAAATTTCGACTACCCCATCTGAATTTTGTTCATACTCTTCACTGTGGAAACCAAAATACAAATTCTTTATCTTAAAACACTTGACAAGATAGCGACATAATTCAGGATTAATTACTTTTTAATAATATTTTAACATTTACGAGAAAATGTGGTTCAAATATGTGTGAAGTATGGCCGAGATTTGGACCAAAATCAGCTATACTGGTTCATAGTGTTCCCGAGGGTGACAAAATTCAAACTAAGTGTTTTTGTAGCTGACATAATTATGACATAAATTAGGTATATCTTTTGAACTGTGTAGATATGGGTCTCGGGTACTTCACGCCCACCCTTCGAAATTATGCTGAGCAAATCTTGGTCTATCCATAAGACTTTTGATGGTACGGTGTGAATATATCCGCATTGGGTTTCTACCCGATACACTAGTTTTCCAAAATCTTTAACATTTTATTTCTTAAAACGTATTAAATGAAATCAAAAATATTATGGTGTGTGAAATTAAAGCAGAGGCATCTGTTGAAAAATTGTTGAACTCAAAAGACTATTTAACTGTCTTGACAGTTTGGCTTTTTTCCATTCAAATAATATTCTAGAGAATCATAAAATCGAAGTTGAAGACAAAACGAAAATAAAAGAAATTATAATTCGCAATCGAAAATGTAAAGAAAATGGAAAAATTCTAAAACTTTATATTAAAGTTTGATTTTATAAAATTTGGCATCAAAATGTTGGTTAAGAAATTTTAATGATTGATCTGAGATTTTGCCATAGCTTTGGAGGGGTGGGGTACATTTAGGTCCTAGAACCCAACTTGAAAAAATTTCAAAGTAATATCTGGATATTTCGACTCTTAAATCCTCAGGTAGATCAAATCTTTGAAGCAATCATAGAAACATGCATGTGAGCATCAATGTTAAATAACAGTAACGGCAAAGAGAACTTTAAAGGAATCGATCAGCACGGGACGGCTGAGCAAAAGGGGGAAGAAGCTAGTAGATTGGAGAGAAAAACTATGTACACCAAATTAAAATAATCGAAAAAACTTAATAAAAAACAATTAAAAAGCAAGAATTAAAATCAAAATAATCATAGACAATTGTTCATTACGTTGTAAGGAATAAGTTTTGATAGAATGAGATGAGAAAAATGGAAAAATTGTGCGAGAAAATGTGAAAAATTAACAAAAGAATTTTCCATGTTAAAGTTGTATGTGTTGACTGTGAATGTATTCGTGATAAATTGGTGTTTTGAAGAATAAATTTTCTGAAAATTCGGTTTTATAAAGAGTGACTTGAGAACTATTCATGAGTGACTTGACTTTTAATATTCTATAGAAATGTAAGAAAGAATTTAATTAAGAAAAAGTTATTGTTTAACAGGATTTTTCCTGTAATATAAATCAGTTAAAATGGCCGATATAGCTACTTATAGAGAGAACATATATATGTACCGTATATGAGACTGAATAAGAGTGAAAAAATCGAGTCGAATGTGAATTAATAATAAAACTTGATTTAATAATAATTAATCGAATCTATTCAACTATATGGAATCATATAATTTCAGATTGCTTTAAAATGAAATTTGCGGCCTTTGGCCCCAATAAGTGGCCAGTTTTTGCCACAATTTCAATTGATCAGGATTCCTCTGTGTGTTACATTGCATCTCCATTGATAAATAAGTCTTTTACTGAACCTGTTGTTGGCAGGTTTTTGTCTTCTGCATGGATTCAATAAGCAATTTAAAGGCAGAAAATAGCCACCAATCTGAGGTATGAGACAAATTTTTTTCCCATCCATCCATTCACATCCATCCACTAAAAAGTGTCATTAGTGTCGAAAGAATGAAATACTATATGTACGATTTTTATAGGTGGTCGTTGGTAATCATAATATTAATAAAAACTCAAGTGCACAACAATCAAATCAAAAAATTAATCAATCTGATCCAAGAGATACAAATTTTGAATACGAAGATAACGAGTGGGATATTGGTAATTAATTACTTTACAACTTTATACCCCTCTTTCTTTCTCTCTTTCTCTTTTTCTCTCCCTTGCTATGTCTCTATCTCTTTCTTTTCTCTCTTATTTTTTGCTCTATCCCACTTTCGCTTATGTTATTCCTTAATTTTCTTTTATATTACTTTTTTTTTGTGTATGACTGTAATGTGTTCTTAATTCTTTTTGTTTTATCTTGTGTCATCATTAGGAATTGGTGATTTAATAATTGATTTAGATGCTGATATCGAGAAATCATCTAAAATCGAATCATCGTTTATAAGTCCTTTAGATCCAGCAGTAACAAATAATAAAAAAACTGCAGCTGCTAGCAAAAATATAAAAGAGGGTATAGAAAGTGAAAAAGGAGTTTTGAAAAAAAATTTAAAAGGTTCTTATACATGCTATACATTATATCTATATGTGTCTATGAAATTCATTTAAATTCATAATCTTTCCCATATCTCACATTTTTGACACTTTATTCTATTTCTTTCCTTCTATTTCTATATACCTATTTTATTATTATCTTATTACAGTTAAAAGTGATTCAATAAAAATGTCTTCAGTAAATAATTCTAATGCAAATAAAAATTTATCGAAAATGTCGATAGATCATCAGGTACTTAGTTTATGATTGTTATTTTTTATTTCCTTATAAACTTTCGTGACATAAACATGCTCAATTATGATTTTTTGTCAGGCAACTCTTGATAAGGGATTGAAGATGAAAATAAAACGTACCAAAACGGGAAAAACGTCTGAATCAAAGCATGAGATAGTGAAAGCGGAATCAAATGGAAATCTCAATGTGGACGATCAGAATTGTGAAAAAACTAGTAATTTAGGAGTATCTGCTTCGCCATCGAGTAGTAGTGGAAAGAGAACAAGCAGTAATCATAAGAAAGATAAGGTAAAACTAATTCATATTATCTGTCTAATTCAGTCTATAATTTCAATTAATTTACTTCTAATTCAGATTAAGGAAAAAACTCACAGTAAAGATAAGCAAGACTCGTCTTCAAGTCAGGAAATTATCATTGCTGATCCAATTAGTTGCACTAAATCATCAGTTGATCTGCATAACCGCTTAAATAATGCAACAGGAATAATGTAAGCATCCCCATTGGTTCTGATTCATTCAAATCTCTTAACTGGATTCCTTATATTTACAGCAATGACAAGCAAGCAACAGGAGTTGTTTCGGGCTCTCTTAAGGTATGTTACTTGATGATCGTGTCTGAATTAAAAGCGAAACATAACTTAAAAAACTTGTCTTTGTAGAATACTGTGATGATAAAGCAAAAGGAATCAATGAAGCCTCAAATAAACTCATCCACATCGTCGACTGGTGCTTCGACAATGTATCAAAACATCTCCGAGAGTAAGGAGGATAATAAAGGCACAATATCACCCCCGATAAAACGAGCAAAATGTGATCCAAAAGGTATGGTCGATGTGTGTGTAGGAACGTCAATTGGCACAATCACTGAGCCCGATTGTTTGGGACCTTGCGAGCCAGGAACTTCTGTTACTTTAGAAGGAATCGTTTGGCACGAAACAGAGGGAGGAGTTTTGGCTGTAAATGTAACATGGAGAGGAAAAACGTATGTTGGTACATTGATCGATTGCACAAAACATGACTGGGCACCGCCGAGATTTTGTGATTCACCAACAGAAGACTTGGAATCACGAATGCAAAAAAGTGGTCGGTCAAAAAGAGCGCGGAATAGTACAACTTCAAATAATGAATTATTAAATTTCACAGAGACACGAAGCTCAGTAAGTTATAAACAAAATAAAACTATATAAAATCAATTGCTAACAGTCTGAATATTTTTTTGTAGGTTCACAGTAAGCTGCGGAACGGAGGATCTAAAGGTAGGACATCCAGAAATAGTTCAATTGGTGCACCACCAACGAACATTACACCATCTACTTCTCCGACCGCTTTTTTAGTTCCCAAATCTGATAAGCGAAGAAAGTCAAAGGATGAAAGTCCGTCTTCATCAAATGGCAATTCATCGGGCAGTAATGTAACGAATAGTACTTTGAATGCAGCTACTTGTAACACACCTAATCTAAAGAAACCTAAAAATACGACATCACCTTGTGCTGTTTCTCCAGTACTTATCGAGTGTCCTGAACAGGATTGCAGCAAAAAGTACAAGCATGCAAATGGATTGAAATATCATCAGAGTCATGCACACGGCACAATAACTAGTACTGAAGAAGAGACGCTTCAACCACCCGATTCTCCCTTCCAATATTCAAGTTCGAGTACTTCTAATGAGAAAACGCCAGTCGTTGAAGCAACAGACTCACCAACAACTATTAATAATAAAACAAATCCTCTCGAGACGCCACCGCCACATCCAGAAAAGCCACTAAGTATCAAATCTGTTCTTCAGCTTAATGAAGGAGCTACTATAAATCCACCCAAACCGTTTGTAACGTCGCCAATAAAGGAAGAAATCAGTAAAACGCCAACAGTAGAAGAGGAACCAGCTGTTGTCGACGCCACAATAAAGCCGGCTCCTTCGAGTGAAAACTTAGACAAAAGTAAGTGCATTTCATTGAGATAAAAATATTTGAGCTAATCACACTGTTTTTCTTTAGGTAATAAGAATGCATCACAGTTCGGAGTGAATCCGGATTTTGAGCAAATTTCGAATGATTCCATAGGTGATACGTCAATGCAAGCAAATAACTTAAACTTCTTCCAAATAAATCCACAAAGTAAAGTACCTAGTGCTAAGAAACAGAAGAATAGGAAATCGCCTGGTCCTGAGACATTAGAAGATCATTCGTTAAACCGTTCTGAAAATGTAAGAAGTCCCGCTTATAGCGATATATCTGATGACTCGAATGCACCTATCGATAATCACATGATTGGTATGTTCATTATCTATCATTAATATTAATTTATCAACTGCTATGTAAACACACTCTAATCTATATCATTACTCTACGGCTCTTTTTTTTCTATAGACAAATCGAAACCGACACCGCTACAAAAAATAACTCCAGATCAGCAAACAAATAGTTTAATAATGGGAGGCTATAATAATTTGTCATTTTATCCATCACCAACATTCTTACAAAATCCAGATAATCAAAATAACAAATCAATATCAAATGTTATAAACTATGGAGAATATGGAAAGCCTAGAGAGCAACATAATCCTTTAGATTTAATTGGAAAATTACATATAGGAAAAAATAATCAAGAAACCGCAAATAGCAATACAGCACCACCTCCACCCCCACAAAAAGTCATGCATCAGCATTTTCCTTACAAGTAAGCCCACTTTTTCTACTATCTTAAACTATCAACTAATTTCCTCAAAATTACTTCCAGTCTCATGCAAGGAAATTATCCGCAACATTACAACATGGAAGCGTCCTTTGGAATGCAAAATGTTGGAGGAGAAGAAGGAAAGAATCTTTCTGGTCCAATAAAAGAAGAGCATCCGAAGGAGACAATGTACAATGCCGAATCTTTGAGACATGTAAATAATTTTTATTTCTATTCGTATCTTCAATATTCTTAGTATTGCCATTTAAATATTTAGGGAATGCAACCAAAACCGACAAAATTAGAGAGTGGAAAGGAAATAAAAGCAGAACCACCATCTCCAATGGAGCAGCAACCTCCACCGCACCAACATCCTAGTTTTTATTCGAATTTATATTCAAGACATCCAATGAATCTTCCATCGTCACGTGAAGAGGACATTCACAGGTAAGCAATAACAATACTTTGATAACTGTATAAGATTAAACTTAACAATAAAAATTTTAAATTAGACGGTTAAACTCCAGTGCAACATCGATCTCATCAATTAAGGAAGAGCAACAGCAACATATGCAGCAGCTTCAACAATCCCTTCCATCACATTCAGCATCTCAGCCAATGAATTTCCAAACAAGCCCGCAACAAATGCAAAAGCCTCATCAGAAGAGTTTATCGTCAAAGAGTAATATGTCAAGAGAAAAAGAGATGAAGCATGAGCAAGAGAAGGAAAGCTTTAAAGTAAAGAATGAGGGACAGAAGCCAACGATGGAAACTCAAGGACCACCGCCACCTCCAACGAATCAATACTATTTACCATATATTGGTCCAGGAGGAAGTCCCTTCTTCCCCGATCCTTCACATTCAATATACCGCAATATGCTTGTTCCACCTTATAATACTCCATATCACATACCAATGGCACGATTTCCCACGCCAGAAGATCTATCTAGAAATACAAAAGCATTAGATTTACTTCAACAACATGCATCTCAATATTACAATACTCATAAGATACACGAACTCAACGATCGAGTAAATCATTTGAAGAGTCCAACAAGCAGCAATGCGAAAATGCCACCATCGGTAATACCTAGTCCAAATCTTTCATCAAATAATCCAATGGCTGGAAATAGTTCATTACCTTCAAGTAATAGTAATAATAGTATAAATGTAAATAATGTAAATATTAACGAGAAGAGCAACAACAACGATGATAATATTTCGGAAAATGACAAGGACATGATTAATAGACAAAATGGACCGATCAATAGAAGTCCACATGTCGAATCAGCTGATGATGATGGCGATGATACGAATGAGAATCATGATCAACAGAATGATAGCAAAAATAACGATAATGATAGGACTAATTCATCACCAAGCAATCACTCAATTCCCAATCCAAACAATATGTCTCAAATGAATGCTTCGAAATTATCTAATGAACGGAATGATCGGATTGATGCATCGAATAATTTAAGTCGAACAAACAGTTCTCCTTCAACGCAAAGGTATGATTACTCTCATTACATTCAGAATGCTTCTGTATATATTGTGTAGATGTTTTGCGCGCATTTCATTTCCATATGTCAACTCTACATTCAGGACATGAATATGCTTTATTATTAAATGTCATGATTTAATCTATTTTTCATGGTAATCTGTTGATTGTGTCTAAATTAATTGGTCTATGATTGATATAAATGACGTATCGAATGTTTACAAACAATATCATTTTCCCGCTAAAATAGTTTCATAATGAAAATGCATGGCATGAATTAGACGTAGATTTTATTCGACTGGATACTACAGTGTAAACTGTAAACAATCTCAACCAACCAGATATCTAGTAAAACGTGCGAATAATCCCTAATAAGAAATGAAATGCGCTGAAGGGCCGTTCACTTATTACGTTACGCAAAAAACCGACTTTTTTCACAACCCCCCTCCCCCCCTTGTTACAACATGTTACAACTCGCAACCCCCCCCCCCTCTGAACGTTCATAATTCAAATTTTTTTCGTGACCTTTTTTTTAAAAGACAGACGACAGTTAGAACGTTACATTCTTCTTGACACCCCCCCCCCCCTCCTATGTTACATTTTGTTACAATTTTTCAAACCCCCCCTCCCCCCTAAAATGCGAACGTAATAAGTGAACGGCCCCTGAAAACTTTGACATATTTTTATTAATGCTTGAAAAGTAAAAATTGTAATAACAAAATGTATGTTTATTTTCTCACACAGGCACGTTCATACACATCATCATACTCATGTGGGCGTATATCCTATGTATCCTGCACCTTACGTAAATCGTTAGTATAAAATTTGTATTTAATGAATTTACAATTGAATACTTAAATAGCAAAAAATTTTGTAGCAGCAGTATTGGCATCTCAACATCCAGCTGCTGTAACTGTGATTAATCCGATTAATCCATTTGCTAATGCTCCACATAAATAAGGACATTAATATAATATAATATAATAATAAAAGTAATTATTGATTATATTTTTTAAATATTGTGATGTAAGTAAATAGCTGATACTTTAAAGAACATACTTATCTATAAGGTTGAATTAATGATGTAATTTAGTAATAATAACAATAATTAATACGCATTTTTAAAGGGGTTCATTAGGAGGGCTCCGTTGAAATCTGTGTGTACTAAACATTTTTGATTTACAAAAAGTCTTTTAATGTAACAAAAAAAAATTGATGAAAAAAAATATTTTTACCCTTTTAAGAACCTTTGACTACACATGAACTGAACATTAGATTATAGATTTATTGTAGTTTTAGTCAGGACAAATGCATTGATTAAATAGTAAGAAATGAAAAGATTAATTAAACGTGTCAATATTTTTTTTTCGAAACAAAAGAAGAAAATGAAAAAGATTTCCTATAAACTTAATACACTTAAATATGTAAATTAAAGAATTTGAGTAATGAACTTCAAATAATCGACGGTTTTTGAGTTAAGATTATATTTTATGAGCATTTTGAGTTTTAGTTTTACGTTTTGACAGTTAAATATATCAAAGACTAGTTTATGTCCACGGACAAAGTAGAGATTAACAAATTATGTCTGCCATGAATAGATTCGAAAGTTTTTAACGTGTTTTTCAATCTTAAATTTTATAATTGGACATGTTCTATGAATTTGCATAAAATTTGAATCTGAAAAGTCCGTTAAAAACAGCCAAAAACTTAATGGATGCACATACTGCAGTATTATTTTTTATCCTCACCAAATTGCAACATTTCTCTTCTTTATCATCTTAAGTTTAGTTTCTTTTTTAAACCACAACATAATATAAAGAAATGAATGGACTCTTTATGCTTCACATTATCATAAAAGCCCACTTACATTAATACAAACAAATAAAAGAAGTAACCATTCCGATTTTCTAAAACTCAAGAACCGTCGTATAAGACATGTATCTAGAATGTTAAAGCTAGAAGTATTTCCGCTTTAAGAGATATGATTTTCTTCTGATTTGAATCATTAAGGAATATTCTAATATGCTATTGATAGTATTTATATTACGAAGATAAATAATAAAATAAAAATAAAATTATATTGAAAAAATGAAACGAGAGTTTTTGAATGCTTCATATTCGTACTTAGCACTGGATGAATTTTGGAAATTGCGATAAGCTAGCTTTCAACTAAAATGACCATACACAGCATAAGCAGCGTATTTTTTGGATTACGTGTGAATTATTAAGATGATAACGAAGCACATGGACTTGAAATCGTTATCAATAATCCACAAAAAAAATATATAAATTAAAACATGTTTAAGACAACAACAACAACATTACATAAAACCCATCAACTTCCAAAAAGTGCTTAAAAACAATCTTTTTGAGGATATTAAGTATAGAATAAATTTCTGTGCCATAAAACGTGACAATAAAACGTGAATGTTGCATAAGTTCATTTTAATTCCTTTTTACAGAAATTTAGATTTAGAGCATCCATTGGAACTTGATTATTGAATTCATAAATGATTTCAACCGAAAGTTTCTTATTTTTTTTAAATGTTTTTACATCATAAATTTCGCAAGTATGTATCATTAAACTTGACATGTATTTGAACAAATGTGTTTTTAATGTATCCACATATGTATGAATATAAAGCATAGAATCACAAAAGAAACTTTTTTTTTTCTTCGTTGCTGTTCGTGTCACAAAAATGAAAAGCAAACTCCCTTCTGAATTCCTTGAAAAGGTAGGTAGAACAATTGTTTCCATTTATTTACACAATATGTCAACGAACTGATGTGCTAATTGTACGAATCACAAGATTCGTATGCTTTTTATTGACTATTAAATTGCTATTTGTTTATGACTTAGTAACTTATTGTGAGAAAATGAATGATAAATTCGAAGCCGTAGCTTAACATTTTTGAGATTTTGTTAGAAATTTAAGGTAGGTTAATTTATAATATAATGGATCTGACAAAGCAGGAAATATTTCATGAGGAATTACATGTCCGATTCTGAATAATAAAGTTAATCCTAGTCAGATTAGAAGCCCAATTCCTCCTCGAGTCAGCAAAATTCTTACCCTGCTTCCCATTCTTCAAAACTTTCTTGCTTTGCCATCAAATTACATCCTTCCTAGACAACAGACGTTATCCAGTAAGTTTCTTAATCAATTAAAATTCATCGAGCGTCAAAACAACAGAAATAAAAATTATTCAGTTTTGGGAAGTCATAAAATTCGAGTAAGAGAATATTTCATTTAATAAACATTTGATTTGTTAATCAGTCATATACTACACATTTTTAATAGCCGAAAGAAGAAGAATTCATGGCATGCGAAATAAAAGTTCTGGCAGAGTGATTAGGAATTCAGCATAAAATTTACATTTTTTTCGTTAAGCGAAAGGAAGAGATATGAAATGAATATTAATAATAGATTAAGTACCTAAGCATTCATTTTCTTTTTTCAGAACCTTAATACAATTTTCATGATGATTTTTAGCAATAATATATTATCAAAGGGGCAATAAATAAATTAAACATATATTACAGATAAGAATAGTAAATTATAAAGAGCATGCTTTAGAATAAATATGTTGTGTGTGCCATGATATGAAGCCTCTTAAAGTAATAAAGTATCGTGCAAATTATCAAAGGAATTCCATTTTTCCCTACTGCTGTGCATACATACATTTATTCGTTTCACGATATTTCGTATTATTGCTGGTAGCGTTGAATCGATTTTAAGGAATTAAACATGGATATCGCATAGAAATGACTTAATAAAATTTGTATGCGTTAAATTAAAATGCCTGTGCTTATTGCTGTTGAATTATTCGATTATAAAATTCATTAGATACTGAAATTTCCTTTGGACATTTTCAGATTCTATAGAAAAGCTTTTTTTTCTTCTTTTCCTGGATTTCTTCTGGATCTTAAGGATTAAAAACAAATTTTGATTTTTTTTTTTTAAATTCTAAGTTTTTCTGATTGGAATCTAGCTATAATGGAGCGAAAAATCATCAGCAAAGTTAGTCAAATAGCAACAATATGGAAAAAACTCAAAAGGTTTTAAAATTGTTCCAAATTTTCAAAGTAAAAAAAAATATTACAAATCGTCAGAAACTTTTTAAAACAAGTTAATCATAAAAATGTTAAGAAACATGCATCTTTCTAAAGGATTAAATCAAACCAGAAAAAGCATTTTAAACAGGTATTAAAAACAAAAAAAAACAATTTATTTGATTTTTTTAAAGTCTGTTAAGTCAGTAAATCGAAAATTTGTGTCCTACTTTAGAGCGAAATTTGAACTTAAATCTTTTAAAAATTAAAGTACAAAAAATTATTCTCAATCTTATCACATTCCTATGTCTAATGCCATTCTAAATATAAGTCTCATGAGATGCCTGACTTGTAATCATCCTCCCACGATGTGGAAGTAGAAAAGTTTAAAATGGCACGCTGCCAGACATCCAAAAAATCTCGAATCGCTCATTAAAAGAGCTTGCTGTAAGAAATTTTAAAAAAATATGTTAAGTTTCAAAATTAGTAAATTCGGGAAAGACATTTTCAAAAAGCTCCAGAAGCTTTGATTTATATAAATTGAAAGATTTAAGGACCACTTAACTCGCTTAGTACACAAAGAAATCTAATTGAGTACATTTGAGTCATTCAATCCTATTTAAAACAAAAATGAGCGCCAATAATGTAAATAAATCAAGGATATAGTAAGTGCCTCATTAAAGTATCAACAATTGCCGACCATTGACTTTCCATTCATGAGTTAAATGGTAAATAGATGTAAGAAGAAATAAACAATAAAAGAGAATAAAAAAATTTAATTATTCAGCGAATCAATTAAACTGAAACGAATTCATGCTTAACTCAAGTAAGTTTGTGTGCATATGTATAAATGAATCATAGATTGTTAAGTAATAATTTAAAAATCTCATTATTATTCAAACATATGATGACATGTTATAGATAATGGTTACATTTTATTAAACAATAGATTTTTTTTATACATAAGTAGAAATTACACAAAGTTAGGTACAAGATGCTTGCACATTTAGTTTGAATGGGGCAAGTTCTGATATTTTTTAAATATTTTTTTTCTTTTTTTTCATCAATAACCACATAGAAAAATAATTTCTTACAAGCTTTCTGAATCAATTGGCCTATGTGCCTCACAATTCAGTCATTCTTCTGTTGACAATATAATTCTTTTAAACTCTTTAATTCCTCGATTAATGCCTTATTTTGATTTTCAAGAACAGCTACTCTATTTTCCAGGCACTTTATATATTCTTTCTTTTTTCGACGACATTCGCGGGCTGCTTCTCTGTTTTTAAGTAACCTCATCTCACGTTTTCTTGACTGATCTTCGGCTATCACATTATTTCCAACCAAATTAACTGTAATTATAAAGTACATCAGGAACATGACAATAATTTTTTAATCATTCTTACCGGGAACATAAGACACCAAATTTCCATCCTGATTACTGTATTGTACTATCGTACCTCCAGATTGTAATGAAGCATGGTCATTGGGATTTCCTGAAGGTGTTAAAAAAGACCCACCTGTTAATTTATAGACATGATTCATTTGGAATTTGTGGATGAACGATTTATAATTTACCAATTTCGCCACCTCCAAGATCATTTAAAATTTTTCGATATGAAGGACGTCGGGTTAATAAATCTCGTCGTTTCTTAGGAGAATCGTCGTCTGTAAAGTCTGAATCGTCACTTCCAATCGTATGGCCAATATTTGGTTCAGGTTTAATCTGCGAATATGACATTGACTATATTTCCCTCGCTTTTTTAAAGCCATCATCATCACAATAACAAATGGTAAATCTTACTTGAATAGCTTGGTGAGTTGTATGTATGACTGAATTTGGTTTACTATTTACTAGTAAGACGCTTTTCACTGGCTGTATTCCCGTAGCTGTTTGAATTACTGATTGTTGATTTGGTTGGATTACTGACGACTGGACATGGCCCTTAAAAGAAACAAATTTCAGCACTTAAATTGATTGTTTGGTTGACAATACGGTGTATTGACTTACTTGGTGCACTGATGGGTTTGTTTGAGGTGAAATTAAATGGACGATTGTACCTGCTGATGAGACTGAAGTTTGTTCGGACGCATTGGAACCATTTTCCTCAACAGTGTCCATTATCATGTATATTTGCCAATCCTTTCGTGAAAATTAACTAAATTAAATGGAAACCTCTCTTTATCACGATCCCTTTCTAATTCTATGTTGATATTTTATGCTTGCAAAACATAAATATTTAAAAAAAAATATTATCTTATTTCACTAAAATGAAAAAAGCAATATCGCTTTATATCAAGATATTATATTTGATTTTTTACGTCTTAACAATTTATTTGTTTTAATTACTTCTTATATTTCTCAATTTTAACTTGACTTTTGACAATTTTTAAGAAATTTTTTCAAATATTCAGTAGAACGAAATATAAATACATTTTTATACTTACTATTATTTTTCATTCGTCACTTTTTATGTATTACGTCATCACACATTCGCTTCAATTTCAGAAGTCGCGACTCGATCATATATACTGATAATTTACATTCATCTGTGGATCTCACGAAAGCCCTGTTCAGTTTTTGCGTCTATTCAAATTATAAAATATACACGAACGTGCTCCAAGGGCATTCAATCTTTACAAGGGTTATCCTTAATCTTATGATTGATAAAAAAAATATCATCAAAATATGTATACACATGCAAAAACTTCTCTTATGTCTTTGATGATCTAACTTGATTTTTTTTTATTGGACATCAAGTTTCTTGAATATTAATTCTCATATTTTGGTTCCAAATCAATGCAGTTTAACATCATTTCTATTTAAGATTATTATTATTTTTTTGTGTGAATCACTTGCTAAGTTATACATGCGCGCTCACATAAGTCGTCGGCACTCACTGAACAATTGTTATACACTCTCGCACAGATGTTTAAATCGTTTATTTTTAACAAAAATAGTTTAAATAATAAGTTTTAAAATGGTACGCGGCATAGACAAGGTAGATATAATCATTAGATATTGAAGATAAGTGTACTTGATGCTAGATTTATATCAATTTGTATTAAAAAGAAATGCTGAATTTGAATGAATTTTATGTTCTTACATTTTTCATGAATTATTTTTAGAGATAAAGTGACCTAAAATTTTGCTCTGTTCTGGGATAATCCGGAAAATAAAATTTTGGATCAGTTCTGATCTTGTAGCTCGGTAGCTTAATGAATTATTACATTCACATTCAATTGATCATTCTCATGATCAGTTTTTACTATTTATGCTAGGAAATTGTCAGCGCATGTATTAAAGATACTGTTGTCATGCGAACTTGTTTTTTTTTTTTGATTTTTGATTTGATGATCGTCGGAACGGTTGTTGGTTCCAATTACTCTCTGTTGAGGTTGCAGTTGGTTGGTGATGAACGGGAGATGCGGCATTTGCATTAGAATTCAGAGGAGGTTCATGCAGTGAGTTGTCAACGAAGAAGTTATCGAGATTGATTCTGTATCGGCTAAAGTCATTGCATTTCTTTTGATCAATTTGATTGGATACTGTTGACCTATCAGGTCGAATGAATTTAGAGTTTCGTCAAATAACCCTATTATTATCCATACAAATCTCATATGATCTAGGCTCTGAACATTTCTTAACGATTGATCCTTTAGACCAAGTGTTATCGGGCAATTGTACCCACACCTTCTGATTTAAATCTAACTCATTACGTTTATATGAATTTCGATTGTAATAAACTTTGGTTTTAGTTTGCTTCTTTTCGAATTTTTTACCTAAATTGTTATTTAACTTTGGTTGAAGCAAGCTATCTTTCATAATAATTTTAGTTCTCATTCTTCTATTATTAAGCAATTGACTAGGAGACAAGTCAATATCCGTTAACGGAATGTTATTGTAATTATAAATTGCTATTAAAACTATATTGAAATTATCGCATTTCTTCATCATATTTTTAACTATTCCTACAGCTTTCTCTGCAAGACCATTCGACTGTGCATAACGAGGACTTGAAGTGACTATTTTAATATTCCACACATGGGCAAAACTTCTACATTCAAATGAACTATTCAAGGATGTCACATCCGACTTTCTCAAATGATCGAAGAGGAATCTCGTGTTGAATTATTGGTTCCTTTCTATTCGATTTCTGAAACTTGTTGCACTCTTCGCAGGTCTTAATTAAATTCTCTATACTAACATTTAGTGAAGGCCAATAAACTGATTCTCATGTGACCTTCATGAAGATCTTTAAGAACATTTTCCCTCAATGATTTGGAAACTATTATTCTATCCTGATAAAATATTAAATCATCCGAAACATAAATTTTATTTCGCAAATTATAGAATAATTTCATTTCATCAGGTACTTTTGATTTGTCTGACGGCCAGCCCTCAGCAAAGTATTTCTTTAACAACGAGCATTCTTTATCTTTATCTGTCTCAGCTTGATAGATTTTTAATTTATCATCACTAATATTCACTGAACGCAATTATTTGAAACGTATCGAGATAAGTAATCTGTTACTGGAATGCTTTTGCCGGGCTTGTACTTCAAATCTAAATCATATTTGTATAACTTTAATCGAATAAGCAAGCGTTTTGATCCTATCTTACTAATATCTTTATTAATTATACTTTCTAAAGGACGATGGTTAGATATTATAGTAACTTTCCTACCATAAATATAATTGTGAAACTTTTTGCACGCAATGAAAACGGATAAAAATTCTTTTTCAATCTGACCGTACTCCTTTTCTGTTTCAGAAAGACAACGTGAAGCAAAGCTAATAATTTTATCTCCTTGTTTGAAACATGCACCTAAACCGTATGACGAGGCATCGGTTTCTAAAATTATTGGCATATTTTCATCAAATGTAGTACATGAGGTGACGTTTTTTATTACTTCTTTAATGCTGTCAAACTCAGCTTGATGATTATCAAGCCATAAAAATTCACTATCCTTCTTTAACAAATTACGTATATTGACTGTTAAAGAAGGTAAATTGGGAATGAAGTCCCTTATATAATTAACTATTCCTAAAAACTTTTGTACGTCTTCCAGATTTTTAGGATTTGGAATACTGTTAATTACTGAAATCCTTTCTAGATCAACATCTACTTTATTCTTAGAAAAGATATGGCCAAAGAATTTTACTGAACTTTGTGTGAATTGTAATTTCTTCTGATTGAATTTCACACCAGACTTTAATGCCCTGACCATTAATCTTCTTAAATTCTCATCATGTTCTCTGAGCGTTTTACCAGTAACAATAATATCGTCAATATAAAATTTGACTCCAGGTAAATTGCCAAAAGTATCCGTCATGTACTTTTGAAAGATTTCTGATGCAATATTTATACCAAAAGGCATTCTATTAAATTGCCACAAGCCAAAAGGAGAACTAAACGTGCACAATTTTTTGGATTCTTCGTCCAACTCTATTTGCCAAAAACCATCCTTGAGGTCTAAAACCGTAAAGTATTGAGAATCTTCCAAATCTTGCTTTAATTCATCAAGGGATGGAATCGGAAAATGAAACTTTTTTAATGCTTGATTCAAATGTTTTGGATTAATACAAATTCCAATTTTGTCTCCTTTTTTTAACAATTTCTATACTATTAATCCATTCACGTTAATCATTGACACGTGAAATAATTCTTATCTTTTCCATTTCATTTAATTTATTCTGAAGCTTATTCTTCAACTTGAATGGAATTCGATGATTCTGATTCGCCACCGGAATTGCATTATTCTTTAATTTCTATTTAAAAGGTCTTTTAAACTTGTCTAGACCTGTAAAAGCTTTTTTATAAAAATCTAAAAGCTTATTCTTTTGCTGTTCTGAACACAACATTTGATTCAATTGCAAGGAATCTATACGAGATATAAGTTTTAGATTTACACATGTCCCTAAACCTAATAAAGGTACCGTATGTTTATCAATGATTATGAATTCTTCAAGGTAAACATTATTATTGAAATTAATTGGAAGAATCGTCTTCCCTAAAGGGTGATTGATTTCACCAAAATATCCTTGTAATTTTAAATTACTTTTCTCAATCTTAAATTTCTTTCCTAAACTTTTGAACATATCTATGCTTAAAGAATTAACCTGCGATCCAGTATCCAACTTAAAATTGATCATTTTATCATGCACGAGTAATTTTTTACTTCAAACATTGCTTATTGCATGTTCTTTTAGTTCATCACAATTGATTACTACATTAGACTCACTGCTTTTGCGTTCATGATCTGCACAGACCTTCTCCTTCTTCTTTTTGCTTATTGAATTCTCAAATTTTTTTGCTCTTAATTTGAGAACTTACACGTTTATTTGACGTCGGTTTGTGAAGAATTCAATTGTTGTTGATTGTAGTAGAAAATTTTGATTTTACTAATCAACGTACGTAATGACTTTTCTTCAGACAAAATGAGCTTTTCTCGCAAATTGTTGTCATGCAGACCGAAAATTATTTGATCACGAATGGCTTCTTCTTTGAATTGAATAAATTCACAGCTTTCAGCTTAGGTTTGAACGCCCCTAAGGAACTCATATTCCTTTTGAATACAGCCACGTAGTTTCATTCTTTCAATAAGAAATTTTATAACGGTGAAAAATGATTCTCGAGAGCCTCAAACACTTTTTCATAGTTCTGCTTCTCTGGATCTGTTTACGGCAGATTCTTGATGATATCCACTGACTTATATCCCATCAATAGTGTCAAGAAATTGAGTTTGATGTTGTCGGATTTCTCATCAAGTTGGTTGATTACCAAATATGAGTTGAATTCTTTTGAAAATCGTTTCCATTCAATTTCTAACGTCGAAGCTTCAAAATTGAACATTTCAATACTTAAATACATGCGCCATGTTTTATTTTTGATTTTTCAATGAAACACGTCTTTATGTTTTTGTTCGAGATATTCAACTGATTTAATGTTTTTCTCGGATTGAGATCATTATTTTACAGAACTCACAGCTTATAGTTGTTTAATTAATTTATACTCACTGTATTGATGATGAAATCACTAGATCTTTAAAAATATGTTCTCTTTAATCAATTCATGTCCTGATTTAATGTAATACAAATAAATCTCAATTGAAATTCACTTTTAAAATGTTACTGTGGTTTAATAAATAGAGTTTAATTTTTGTAATTTGGATAAACACAAGACAAAGTTCAAAATAGATTTTAAATCATTTTGTAGCTATTTGTAAAAGTGTTTTTATTTCAAAGAATAAAGTACAGAATATAACAATTTATCGGTGAATTTGCGTAATACTCTCTAAAAGTAAAGAAATCATCAAAGTTCAAAAAAATTATTTCTTACACAAGAGAGTTCATAAAATTCAGAAAAAAATTATTCGTTGGTGATTTGTTTTTATAAGGTTGTATCAACGAGTTTTACGTGCCGGATTGTGTAATTTTAAAACAGAAAAGCTATTTTAATTTTTTATAAGGGCAACACAAGGGGGAATAGAACAGAGTATTATTTCAACTGGTTGAGTGAACGTAGTTCATGTTCCTAAATTGATAAAATTATCTTAATTCAAGTGTGTTAAGGCTTAATATTAATAATTAAACTATGTTTTCGTGGCTGAAGAAGAGTGAGGCTACTCAGGAAATAGTTGAGACAGCATTGGGGGAAATGAAAAAGATATACAAGTCTAAATTATTACCATTAGAAGAACATTACCATTTTCATGATTTCCATTCACCAAAAGTAAGAAAAAATGATAGTAGATTATTGACTTGCATAACATATTAATTAACACTTTATTTTAGCTTGAAGACCCGGACTTTGATGCTAAACCAATGATTCTACTTGTTGGTCAATATTCGACAGGAAAGACTACATTTATTAGATATTTACTTGAACGGGACTTTCCTGGTATGTGACATATTAGTCATTTAATTTTTATGCCTATCAATTATCAATAATCTCTTTTGCCTTGATTTACATGGTTCGATTTCCTTGAGCTTTTTCATGTGTGTAATTCATATTCTAGCGCCTCGCACTGATAATACTAGCTAATATTTGCTCAAATTGTTAGTCACAATTCGTGTTTACTTTCTCTTTTCTTACAAAATTATGAGCATTTATGTTCTTAAGAGATCGACTATGCTGTATATTAGAAATCGATCCATGTAGCTTTAAAATGATTTTGAAGATTATTAACTGTTTCTTTTACTTCTCTCTTAATTACAGGTATCAGGTAATATTGACTTGCTTATTAAAAATATTATGCTTTTATTAAACGCTTTAATTACACATTTATTCTTCTTATAGGATAGGACCCGAACCAACAACTGGTACGATTAATTTCATGATCCATTAAAAAAAAAGCTAGATCATTTCCACAAATTAAAATTTGTCTATTTTTTTATCCCCCACATAGATCGCTTCATATCTGTTATGTTCGATGAGAAAGAAGGAATAATTCCTGGAAATGCACTTGTTGTGGACCCAAAAAAACAATTTAGACCACTGTCAAAATATGGCAACGCATTTCTCAATCGTTTCCAATGTTCAACTGTTAATTCACCTGTTCTTCAGGTATGACTCATTTCTTATATGAATCACATTAGGTGTCTATTTTTGTATGAATTTGCTAATTGACAAGCTGTTTCATGACTTTTTTTTAAGCTCTCTGTGATAAAGCTATGAAAATGTCAAAAGGTTGTTAGCTTAATTGACACTCTCATAGATGCTCCTCTGACTATATGCTAAAAAGCGCAACACGATAAATGTGAATTGCATATAGGTCATTAATTTCAAATTCATCTTCATTTGCCCCATGTTTCTTATTGCACATTTCCTCAGTTTAGAATACATTTCCTTTTTAATTTGCTTTTATTAATCATATAGGCTATTTCAATTGTTGATACGCCGGGTATTTTGAGCGGTGAAAAGCAACGAGTTGATCGTGGATACGATTTCACAGGTGTATTAGAATGGTTCGCAGAGCGTGTTGACCGAATTATTTTGTTATTTGACGCACATAAACTTGACATTTCTGACGAGTTCAGACGTTCCATTGAGGCTTTACGCGGACATGATGACAAAATTAGAATTGTTCTTAACAAAGCTGATATGGTTGATCATCAGCAATTGATGCGTGTCTATGGTGCTTTAATGTGGAGTCTTGGAAAAGTACTTCAAACTCCTGAAGTTGCTCGCGTTTATATTGGTAATTATACTGACTTACTTACTTTATTATTTTTCTTGATCGTCACATAGCATATTTACATACATTAATTCCCATTCATTTCAGGTTCATTCTGGGATCAGACGTTACGTTATGATGTTAATCGACGTTTATTTGAGGATGAAGAACAAGATCTCTTCAGGTACGCTATTACTAATTATTATGTGCATTTAAATTTGTTCATGTGAGCTATTTATTATTGTAGAGATTTGCAATCGCTTCCAAAAAATGCTGCTTTACGTAAACTCAATGATTTAATTAAACGTGCAAGATTAGCAAAAGTTCATGCATACATTATAAGTGAATTGAGAAATGAAATGCCTGCAATGTTTGGAAAGGAGAGCAAGAAGAAGGATCTTATAAAGAATATTGGAAATATCTATGATCGTCTTCAACGAGAGCATCAAATTTCACCTGGTGACTTCCCAGACATCAAAAAGATGCAGGAAGTTTTACAAAATCAAGACTTTACCAAGTTCCATTCGTTGAAACCTCAGCTTTTAGAAACCGTCGATCGAATGCTTGCTATTGACATAGCCAAATTAATGGGTATGATTCCACAAGAAGAACAGGAACTCGTATCAGAGCCTTTAATTAAAGGTAAGCTTACCTTTGACTTGTTTATTTTTTGACTGTGACTTGTTGAGTTTCAAATTGTTTGTTATTTTTTAGGAGGTGCCTTTGTTGGTATTGAAGATACCATTTCTCCATTCGGATATAAGAAAGGAGAAGGAATTGACGCTGGTTTCGGCGAAGTTGACTGGATTTGCAATAGAGATAGAGCTAGAACTGATCCATTGTTCGAAACTTTGAATCCGATTAATGGAAAGATCAGTGGTGCTGGTAAGACGTTCAAGAAATTTTATAGTTGTGGATAAATTAATGATTTTAATTATTATTGTTATAGCCGCTAAAAGTGAACTTATCAAATCAAAACTGCCTAATTCCGTTCTTTCAAAGATATGGAAATTATCCGACGTGGATTGTGATGGATTCTTAGATATTGAAGAATTTGCTTTATCTATGCATTTGATTAATATTAAACTTGATGGGAATGAATTACCAAATGTATTACCTGACCATCTAATTCCTCCATCGCATAAAGGAAATTAAGGAATTCATCATTTTCATAATCATGAACTGCTGTCAATAAATTTTTTACAAAGCCCATCACAAATACATGCTAGGTGATTTGATACTTATATTGGGGAGAAAGATGAGAGAACCAAGAACTAAAAGAATAAACTTTATAGTATATATTTATTCCTTTATATAGGACTCTATAATTGCACATGCTTTATTTTATCCATTTTATTATAAAAAAACGTGTTGATTAAAACTGATGATTGAAGTTTTATGAATTGTTATGAATTTGAAATCACGCAATGTTACACATCATTGGTTTTAATGCATTCATTTTTTTCAATTAATTATTCAATATATTTTATTGATGTATCTTTTATTCTTATTTTGAAATATTTATTGTATATTGATCAGAAAATAAAATGTCAAAATTTATTCAAAATTATTACCTTTAAAAAAATATATTCTTGTTTTCATTATAAAAGCACTGAAGCTTTCATTCGTTCCAATATGCCCAATTAAATATCGTTATCGCTCGCTCATTTCGTGACTCATTATAGTCGCACGATATGAATTTTAAAGTATGCGCGTTGCACATGATTTATTCGCTAAGTGATAATGTTGACTTAATCAATAAAGTTTTGGAGATGTAGAAGGAAACGGAAAAAAACCAAATAAAATGTTGTTCATCAATCATTGGTTATCTAAAACCACAATAGCTATGCTTGTTCATAAGAAATAACTTGTTGATAAAGTCTGTAAATGTGAATTTTTGACATATCGCATGCTAATGAACCAGATATGCCTGAAAGAGTAAAAGCGAATTCTCTAAGATTAAAAATGCAGTTTTAAGTTTATTACAAATTAATTTAATCATTGTTTCTTGTGATTAATACATAAATTAACGAAAATATTGCAAATAAAAAAATCATAAAGTTCATGTATTAAATGATAACAATACAATTTTAAGTTATAATGAATTAAAAACTAATTTCTTATTATAATTTGACTAAAAGAGTGAACTTAGTGCATTCCTATTTGCAATTTCCCATTTACTAAATTTTACTTTATTTTATTCTTCATCTTCTTTCCGCTTGCCTGCTTTTATTTTTGTAGGTAGTTCTCTAAAGAAAATTACGATTAATAATCATGTGTGTTGAAAAGAATCATCGAAACAAAAATTCATCTAGAAATATACTATACAGAGTTTTAATCTATTTTTTATTTGTTAACAAATATGTTAACAAAAAAGAATTGTGTTATATTTACAGTTAAAACATTAAGTTTGAATTAGTAAAATATTGATATAATAATTAATGTTTACACGCAATCTAATTACTTTTCTTTTTATCATAATAATGGTTTATTACATGTGCCAATGAGGCGGTGGTTGTTGATGCATTCCTAAATGATACCCAGCTTGATACGATTGATTAAACATCATTCGATATTGTTGTTGTAAAGCTGCTGGATCTATCGAGTTCATAAATGGATAGGATCGAGATGGATGAGATGGTAACAAATGGTGATATGGAGATGCAGGTGTTGTGGGATGTGCTTGAGGAGGATTTGGTACTGTTTTATCAATTGATTCTGCTGTTCTTAAAGCAGATGAATAATATGGATTTTGAGATCCTCTAAATTCTTCCAAATATGCTGAATTATCTCCATAGAGTCCCGGAATAGAAGGTGGTCCATAATTAAATGCACTTCCAGGCACAACGGATTTTATTGAGAGCGATGAAGAATCAGAACTTGAAGCTGACGGAACTTTGATTCCAGGAAATGATTGAAATGTTTGTTGATGAACATACTGCTGATGTGCTTGTTGCTGATTTGTTGTAGGCAATTGATGTTGTGATAACGATGCAGGTGTTTGTTGAGGAATAATTTCTGTTGGAGCATTTTTCTTCTTTTTTCCTTTCTTAGCACTTTTTGTTTCAATTGCCGTTGCAGTTACAGCCGCTTGCTGATTTACATTCATCATTTGATTCGTATTATTTGAAGCTTGGAAGATATTTAATCGACTTTGATAGTTTGAAAAATCTTGTTGCTCTCGTCCATACGCTATTGTCGTCATTGGATTGGAATAAATTTGTTGGAAGTTTGTAGTTGCACTTGACTGTGGAACACTTTTTGAATTAAACATATGAGCAGCAGGGTTAGTCTTATCATAATAATTGGTCGAGGGATTAGAAATGCTTGCAAAACGATCTTCTGCTTGTCTAAAATCTCTCATAAATGCAGTCAATTCCATCATTGACGATGCAGAGGATGAATTAAATAGTGAAGCTTGCTTATAGTTCATGTCAATCGCCGATGGTTGCGTAGCCGTTCGTGCACTTTGATGAGAACTCATTAGGTCATTATTTACAGGAATAATTGATGGATTTTGAATGAAATTACTTATGGCCGATTGTTTTGGATTTTCTTTTGGAACGATATCTATTTGAGAGCTAGAAGTTGATGCTAATTTCTGCTGATTACCTTGATTATTTGCTGATGTATCGTTTGGTAATTGACAGTTGCTTAAAGTAGATGGATAAGTAGGTTTTTGTACATTCCGAGATGTTGTGTCATATGATCGGTTTTTAGAAAAATCCAAATCCAATGGTTGTGAGAAATTACTAGCAAGATATTGGTTTGGAAATCGATTCGCTTGCTTTGACAAGTCAAGATATTTGGGATTGTCTTGTCTCTCTTCATGTGTAGTGTGTTGCACTGTAGTGTTACATGGCTGTTTGACTGATTGCTGTAATGCAGCTTGACGTCTAACTTCTTCTTGGTACGTTATTGATGCATCTTGTCGTGTTCCTGCACTACTAAACATTGTCTCATTTCCCGTTTCAAGTTTCTTATTTCTCAATTCATTTGCCAAAAATGAAGTATCTCCAGGATAAAGGATTTGTTGATTCTGTTGCTGTTGTTGTTGTTGTTGTACTATTTGTGGAGCCACATTCATTGGCGTTTCATTAACTTTTGCAGCTTGATTAACGAAATTTTGATGTTGTTGCTGTTGCATTATTGGTGCTGTATTATGAATTATTGGAGCCGCTGTACTAGTTTGTCGAATTTCATTATTAAAATTGTTATTTGATATTGCTTTTTGACTAGCATTATGTGGCTGTTGTGGATTTGGAGAAAATTGAGATACTTCTTGTTGCTCAAACATGTTGCTTTGGGGTGTAATTTGATTATTGAAATTATTTTGATTGGTCGGTAGAGATTGTGAATGATACGGCGATGTGGGATTTTGATGAAAGGGTGAATTTGACTGAGAATATGTCGAGCTTGGCGATTGAATGTTTGACATGTTATTACCACCACCTCCAGTATTATTATTACTACTATTATTGTTATTTGTTTGGTGAATTTCAGTACTCATATTGTCCGGTGTTGGTGGATAAGGAGAATTTGGCTGCTGTTGATATGGAGAGGATTGTTGACTATGATGCGAAGATCCAGGACTAACGACATTTGAATTCATCGATTTATGCATGCTTGTTTCTTGATTGAAATGCTTATTGTATTGATCATAGTAAAGTGGTGAATTTGATGAAGATTGGTGCTGTTTAGTGCTTGATGATGATTCAGGATTATAAAAATTACTATAAACATTTGCACTTTGAGACGAGTAGACATTTGATTGTTGCGAATATTGTTGATAGGGCGACGATAATGGTTGTTCTTGGGGACTATGACTTTTGTCTGGACTCGATTTTGTCGATGTTGTATCTTGATAAAAACCCACACGAATCGGACCATTATCAGGATAATTAGATTTATTGATATCATCGAGTTTTGGTGATATTGCGGATATTGGTGAAGCACCAATCGGCGAAGGAAATGGAGCTGGTGCAGATCTATCTTCCATACTAATATGTGGACTACTTTCTACAGATGAAATTTCAGAAACTGAGCTTCCAGTACTCAATCTCCTCTGTGGCATTAAAGAAATATCGTTCTTAATCTCAGATTTCTTTATATTATCTGATTCCGTATTATTTGGCTTCTTTGAAACACCAAAAGCTTTAAACCATGCACTTAAATTGGGTTTGGCATTATCCGTTGAAGCCGCTGGTGCAATAATATTTGTATTTGAACATTCTGGTTCTGCTTTAGGAGAATTTTCAGAAAGTTCATCATCAGGTGCATCCTTACATTTACTAATTTGTTCCTTTTCACTATTCTCATTTTCATCATCACTATTTCTATCAATAATCTTATTATGTTCATTTAACGATTCCTCCTTTTCTAATCCACTATTATTAAAATGAAAAGCGCTCGGATCCAAGACCTTTCCAAGATTTAATTTCGGGCTGTTCTCATCGGTCTCGGTGATTAATGAATTCTTTACATCCTTAACTTTTTCCTTGTGTCCCAATGGGATGAATTCATCTGGCTTCATGACATTCTGTAGATTGCATAAAAGATTTCCTTTTGTTTTTCCCGGTTGTAATCTATTTGTTGTTCTTTGTATCTCTCTTTTTGTCTTCATAACGATCTGATGCTTATCGCTTAACAATTTTTTCTTTGATACTTTTGCAAACTTTTTATTAGCTAAATTAGCCGACACAAGCACATTATCCTTATCTCTATTATTATTACTACTACTATTATTATTATCGACGATATCTTTTGAAAAATGATCTTTTTCATTTTTTTGTACAATATTTTGAAATGTTGCTGTGTTTGCTGATGTTGCGGTTGTTGCTGTATGAATTTTCTTAGAGGTTGATGGTGGTGATGAAGGCATTAATGGTATAGGTTTCCGGAAATCATTATTATCTGATTTTAAGTGCACATCCATATCATCAATTGTGTATCGAGATGGAGAATTACTTTCAGAATTATATTCAAAACGAGGTGTGTGTTCTAGCCATTTATTTATATCTTTTAAGGTTTGTTCTGTTTCCAGATCTAATACATCCAATGTTGCTTTCTGCTTCATTCTTTTCTTATTACTTCCATCATTACTCGTCGCAGACGATATATCCTGATTAAATAATAATTTATTTGATTTCTCTTCTTTGTTCGTACTAGACGATTTTATCTTATTATTATCATTTTTATTATTACTATCCTTATCATGTTTATCTTCTAGTAATTCGTCAAAGAGATCCTTTGCTTCCTTCTTAACTTTGCTTTGTGATTGTTTATCCTTAGTTATTGGTGATTCTTGTTTTATTTCAACAGGTGAATCTGCAGCTTCTTTTAATGCTGCTGCTGCTACGGCCTTCTTACTTTTTTTTGATGCCTTAACATCATTCTTTTCTTTTAGTAAATTTTTCTGATTCCTTCGTTCCTTTATAAGGTCAAACTTATCTTTAATTTCAAATGATGTCGAGCTTTTATTTAAATCAGAAAATGAAGTTGTGTCATTCGAATGAGAACCAATCGATAATAATGCTGGAGATTTTTCCTTATCCCTATTTCCTAACAGCAAATTGAAATCATCATCTAAACATCCTAAATTAATTTTATTTGCAGACATTTTGTGTTTGTTCTTTTTAATTTGTTTCGAACTCTTCTCAATACCCTTTTTAGTGCTTTCCTTTGGAGTTTTCTTGGTCTTTAGACCCTTTTCCTTTTTACTTTGATTCGTCTTCGTAAAGCTTTCATTAATCAAATCTCGAATGCTTTCATCACTACTAAAATCTGTATTATATGCATCCTCCTTATCTTCTTTAAATGCATCACTCTTTATGTCCGATTCTATATCATCCGTTTTCACATTCCCAATTTTCTTATTATTCTTTGCCTTTTTATTATATGACTTTGGTAATTTCTTTTCAATTTTTTCTTTCGTTTTGATTTTCTTTTTATTATATTTTTTACCCACTTTCACTTCCTTAATTGGAAAATTGTTAATATTTGTCTTTTTATTCTTTGATTTGTTCGAGCATTTAGGTTTATTACTTTCCACATTTTCATTTTTCACTTCATCGAAACTATCTTCATTCACTATATCTTCATCGTTTTCAGAGTTTTCCACGATCACTTTATGATTTTTATCCTTTTTATCTTTATCTTTGTCCTTTTTTCGTTTAGTGTTTTTAGAAGAGCTTTCAAGTTTACTTAAAGCATTTTTATGTTTTTTGTTCACTTTTTCCTCAATCTTTTTTGCACTTTTCTTTTCACTTACAACACTATTTGATACTGTCTCTTTCTTACTATATTTTGTGTGCTTAATCTCATCATTCTTTGATAAATTCTCATCTGAAGTTTGAATCTTTCTTTTTGCCTTATTATTTAATTCCGTTACTGGCGGATATTCCAATAGTACCTGCTCCTCGTCAGATGAGCTTTGATCAAAATATTTCTTTGTTGCTCGATCGAAAGCAATTTGTAAATTATTTACCATCTGAGTATATTCTAAAAAGGGCAGAGATTTTTTTTAAAAGGGCAATTGGAGACATTCAATATTAATACTACCATTATTTTGTCCATTGTACAGTCTACAATTGTTTACTATCAGCTTGAAATCTGTTCGGAAGTCTGTATAAGTTAAATACTCTCCATCGTCAAGCTTCTCCTCCATCTTCAGGAGATCCATTGGTCTACAAAAAGAAGGAATAAGCGTTATTATTTAACGTTGAATTGTAATGAACTTTAGATTGCATACCGTTTAATTATAGAATAATATCTTGGTGCAATTTCTTCCTCGACGGGATCCATAAATGGCCAAGCATCGTCATGATTTTTCACATATTGTAAAACTTTATGCATTCCAATTTGTAAAACTTCGTCTGTTTCCAAATACCTAATAAATATTAACGTGCAAAACTTTTAACTGCTGCCTTAATTTAATATAATAGATCACTAATGAATGAATGAATGATTGGTGCGATAATGAATGAAAGTAATAAGGAATGGAGAGTAGATGAACTTACGATTCGGGTTTAATCTTCTTTTTACGCGAACTCGTGGTCGAGGATGATGAATTAGAACTTTGTGTAGAAGTGGCGGTTGGGATTTTTGTTGTTATAGTTGCTATTTGGGGTTGCGGAGGTGTTGGTATTATTGGTGTTTCAATCATAATATTGCCAGTCATAGAAGACAAAGAGTTATTAGTCTGTCGACCAGGTAATTTTGTAGTTACTGGAGGCATTTTTGCAATAGAAGAATCGTCTTTATCCGTATTTGTAAATACGTTATGAGAATTTAATCTAGTGAAAATATTTTCTTTATTTGATCGAGAAATGTTTTGATTAGAAGTAGTTAACAATGAGGAAAGCTCATCACTTTTGGAATTTAGCACAGTACTATGATTATTATCATTAGAAGTAGTTTTTCCACTAGTAGAAGACGAGGATGACTCATAGGAGCATCTAGTAATAATATGGAAGAGAGGAGGGTATGAATTACTAACGGAAGTCTTTCAGAAAATTCAATGGGCGATCAAAACTAATTTTGTTTATGACATAAGCAATTAATTATTAGAAAACCATAAACTGATCAAAATCAAAAATCATGAAATAAACTTAATCACATTCAGATAAATTTTTTTGTAAAGAGATTTTGTTTTGCAGCTAACCGTCGTTGAGCTCTAACTGCACGATCCTGTTGCACTTTCTCGCGATATTTCTCTCTCGTTTCTTGATCCTTCTTTTTCTTAATCAAAAATTTCTCCGAATAATTAAGCCTATATTTGGATTCGTCTGTTAAATCAATGGCTTCGTTTTCTTCGTCCTCATCCACCTGATTTTTAGATTTCTGTTGTTCCAACAGACTTTTGACTCGCAATGACGAACGTCTTTGAAACAAACTAAAGGACATAACGATACATAACATTTGTAATTTGTCAAAAATAGAAATGATGATTTATACCGTCTTCGGCGCTCAGCTTCCTTAGCTTTGAATAAAAATGGAATGCTTGGTAAAAAATCTTCAACAAGGCACTTGTATAAATTTTGTTCCTTTCGAGATTTTGAACTTTTGAGTTTGTTTGCTAAATTGTGCCAATCGTCTTCAGTAAAACAAATCACTTGCCATATATGTTCTGAACTATTTGCTTTCGACTTTTGAATGTCTTCTCTGTACAAACGAGTTCCTAAAAAATTAAAATATTATGTTAAAGACTATGATATTGCTTAATGAATGCTTAGACGTACCATAAAAATACCAATAAGTAGAATGATTAGAATCGAAACCAAGGGGCTTAATTCGAAGACTGTCTGATTCAAATTTACTTGTTACAGGATCAACATCAGCAGAATCCAAACCTAGTAAAATAAGCGTATGAGACGTTATTAAGTTGTGGACTGTCATAAAAATCAATCATTCCAATACTTACGAAATTCACATAAATAATTTAAAATGACAACCTTTGTGCGTAACGGTAATGAATGGAAATCAACATCAGTATTAAAAGGATTCTCAATATTATGCTCCTATAAAAGATGCAGAGAAATTCGTTAATTAAGTTAAGTAAAGCTTCCAGTGAACTATAAAATGCCACTCACTTCACATTTATGACGGAGAACTCTTCTCAAAAACATTTGATAATTACTTGTTGTTATATTGGGCCATTGCTTCTTGACTAAATCGCATCCTTTAAGTAACGAAACAATCAATTCTGGTACTAATCGAGGATTTGCAAGTCCAACTGATCTGTAATCAGCGACGGAGTTATTCTCTAAGCTATCCAATAAAAATGCTTCCTCCAAATCCTGTTAAAGTAGAGAAGATGAAAAGTGAAAATCATACAATATGCTGCAAAATAATAACAAACAGCGCGAGATACAACGCGAGCAACATAATAGCTTAGCGCTAAGACGGAGAAAAAGTGAAAATTATTTTTTTTTGTTTAGATATGAATTAACTTACCTCGATGTCAAATTCTGGTAAATTAAATGATCGACTGAATAATGACGAAAAGAATGCAATTTGGGGTACTTCTGGCCATGTTTGGATTTCGATAAAATTCATGAATTTCTTATCTACCTAAGTTATAATAGAATTAATAAAAATAAAAAAAAAATCGTTTAAATTATGTTTAAATTTCACTTTTTTGATTTTAAAATGCACCTTTTGCTTCTAATTATCTCAAATATTCACTAATAATAAACAAAAGTACTGTTAGCTGTGTGATTATACGCTTTTTCACTATATTAACTGTTTTATGAAAAAATCAATGGCTTGACTATTATAAAAATTACATTTTTTTGATAATCTATACAATTTAAAGCTTATCTAGGACATAACAAGTATCACCTTTTAAACTAAATTATTGTTTTTACAAAGATTTAATCAGTAATATTACAGATTTATTTAATTTTATTAAAATTTTCACAATTCAATCGCGTATTTTTAGCGCATTTCTTAAAACAAGCTTTCGAAATGCTACCTTATGCTGCACTTTGTTCTCTCGTTTTGGATCTGTTTTAATAGCTTTGCTATTGTCGAATCTTAAACCATTGTGGTTGTACCAGTGTTTTAATACTATAATTATTCAATTTGTTTTCAAAACAGTGCAACTTGTGAAGCTCTTCATACCTGGTTGAAGATTTCTAGAATTTTTTTTGATTCCTAGAACCTTTTAAGCTTTTATTTCCTAATCCATGAGAAATACAAATTTTTGCAATCAATTTTTCACTTGTATTAATGCGTTATCGAATGATAATTTCACTTTTTATGATAAGCTTACTGAACACATTTTAACTTTATTTGATATTGTGTGATAAATGAAAATAGAATTTTTGGTTGTTTTATTTTTGTAGAAAATTTGACAGGGAATAGTCGAGCTTTTGAAAATTTGATCAATCTGTGGACTCACCTAAATGACGATTTAAAGCAATCATCTGTACTTTGTAGCAGATAATTTGTAAATCAAAAAAAGTGAGACAAAAAATGCGCTCAAGTCTCTTGATCAAGAACAAGACTTTTCTATTTTTTTCCCTCAATTACTTGGTGAGAAGATTATAGATTTGAATTTTCAAAAACTGTTACCAATTTTTTTTGAATATAACGGTCGCGTGCTTTTTTTGAATTCTATTTTTGCGGGAAATTCTTAAGCATGCTTACATCTTAATCATATTAATGGAACTCCAATATTAAGCTGAAAGTTAAAAAAACGCTTTAATTAAGAGTATTGGAAGCAAATCATTTTAACAGGCGGTAAATGATTCTGAATAGCAAAAGTAGAGTTTAAGAAAACATTAGTATTTATGGAAAGTTTCATCTGTAGAATCACCCATTTATAAATTTGAAGTGTTTGAAAATAGAATTAATTTGATACTAATGGTTCCCTAATTTCAAAACTAGTAAAGTTCGAGAACAACTGCATTGCAGGTAGAAAAAAATTCAAATCCATAATGTTTCTTTTAATCCGCAGGCTTATAAAAGTTTATAGATGTCGAGCTATTTGAACAGCTGCGGCTTGGTAAAAGAAAATTAAGAAAAAAAAGTGAAGCCAAAAGATCCATTAAAAAATTACAAATATCATGTCAAAGACAGAAGAAAACTACTTAGAAGTAATCACAATCATCCAGCGAAACAGCAATAATGATGAAGATTATTCCGAAATCATTGAATATGAGCCTCAAAACGACGAAAATGGGATTGTTTATGAATACATTGAGGTCGAAGAAGAGCAAAATGAAGGCGTAAAAGAGCTAATTCAAATCCAAAAGCAAGAAACAGTTGATTATGAGGCAATTTCTCAGCAAGACAATGAAGATGATATGCAGCTATTGGAAATACACAAGAATGAAAATGAATCCATCTTGCGAAGTTTAACTGAGGAAAAGTTCAAGTGCATAAATCGAATTTGTAAGAAAAATAACATCAGTTTTGATACTCAGGAAGAACTGAACATTCACAATGAAGAACATATTTTGCAATACAGCAACTCAATATGCCCAATTTGTAACAAAGTACTTGCGAATCAAACGAAACTCTCGAATCATATTGAGTTAAGGCATACACCAAAAAATTATACCTGTGATCAGTGCGGAAAGGTGTTTAGAAGTAAAGATAATTTGAGACTTCATATGACTCATCATCGCAAGTACTTCTATGTTGAGTGTAGAGCTTGCAATCGCGGATATAAAAGTATGCAGTCACTGCGATATCATTTGAGACAGCACTTTGAACATCATCAATGTGAAGCTTGTGGAAGGTAAATATATTGTCTAAATATGTGAGTAATTGCCTAATTAACGAATGACATTTCTAAAATTTTAGAGTTTTTGAGCATAAAAAACTACTTCTGGGTCACGTAGCTGCAATTCATAATCAAGATCTTCAAGTCCAATGCAGATTTTGTACACGAATGTTTGCTAGAAGTGACGTTAGAGATGCTCACGAACGAGAAATACATAAAAATGGGATGATCGGATCACATTTCCGATGCAATGAGTGCAATGCTGCTTTTGATCTTAGAGATGATTTAATGAGTCACAAAATATTAAGTCACTTCAACGGTGTTATTCATACTTGTGAAGAATGTGGAAAGAATTTTAAGAAAAAGAGCTTGTTAGATCTTCACATGAATGTTCATAGAAAGAAGACTATCCAGTGTGAGATTTGTAAGCAAATGTTTACCTTCGTCACGGGTTTGAATAAGCACAAAAAAATGGGAAGATGTAAAGGACCTCCCCTTGAAACTTTAGCTGATAGTATGACAAAGGAAGAAATAGCCAAGATTGCTAAGCAACAATTAATTGAAATCACTGTGAATCCTAAAAAGGCAAGTGATGAAGATGATATGAGTTTTGGATTTGATGATGAAGACATCATTACAATTAATAAGGATGCAAGTGTCAAGAAGAAAGCAGGAAGAAAGCCAAAACTATTGGTTTTAAATCAGATCAATAATGAAACTAAGACTGAAATCAAGCAAGAACCAGTAAAAGATAAAAAGGAAAAGAAACAATCAATTACTGTAAGAAATATGACACAAGAGGAAATTCAAGAACAACAAGATGAATTAGTTTCTCCACAAGAAATTATTAAAAGCTCTAGTGGACGAATAATTAAACGTAAACTTCCTCCAGTAATTACATCCACATATTATCGTCCATCGAATGTTCCAAAGCGTCAAAATATCCCATTAATATGCGACATTTGTGGCGATCAATTTGAAAGTAAAGCATCTTTAATTGCACATTTAAATCATCATATGAGAATGATCAAGGCTGATAAAGTTTTTGGTGATTTGTTAGAACTTACTGATGAAAAAGATGTGGAATTGACATCGAACAGTTTCAAGGAAAAGAAATTTGCTTGTGATATTTGCGATAAACGTTATCTCACAAAACATCTTTTATCCATTCATAAAAAGTCACATGCAAATCTAAAGGAATTCAAATGTCAAAATGAAAACTGTCTTTTTGAGACAAACTCACCATATGATTTAAATAATCATATTAAACGAATCCACAATCCTACCAGGCCATTTAAATGTTCAGAATGCGATAAAAAGTTTAAAAGGCGTTGTGATATGATTAATCACAAAAAGTCTGTTCATACAAATGTTAGGACTTATGTTAAATGTCCAGTTTGCGAAACAATTATTCTTGAGAAAGGCTTACAAAGTCACATGATAAATCGTCACTCGGAAAAGGCTCAGCAAAAACCTTATGAATGCACAATTTGTGGAAAACGTGAAAGATATGAAAAAGTTCTCCAAAGACATTATTTTGCAGTTCATGAGCCTAAAGATCGAGGCGTTTTATATCAATGCCCAGATTGTCCAGCATCCTTTTATCGACGACGTGGTAAGTCTAATTCACTTATTCTCTTAACTTTTTGCTTTAACTTATGAATTTTATACTTTAGACGCGACATCACACTCATTTGTTCATTATGAAGGTGAAATATTCGAGTGCTTTACTTGCAACAATAAATACAAAACTAAGAAAGAATTAAGCAATCATGAATACACTCACAGTCAATCAGAGTTTCCTTGTAATATTTGCAATCAAGTTTTCCAAACCAAATCGGGACGAGGTAAAAGTTTTATAGCTTTAGTAAGTTGGACAATAAAATTTATTTTTAAATTATAGGAAAGCATATGAAGAAGCATTCAGAACCTGGAGCAATGCCATTTGTTAGAAAGGAAGAAGGTGACTCTGATAATGACAATGAAGAGGTTATTTATGAGCAATATGAAATGCTCGAAGAAGTAGAACAATACGTAAATGTCATTTAAATTTTTTTTTTCAATATCTTTTAATCTTAATTATAAAATTTTATAAAATTAATCCTTTTTTTCGTATTCCCATTACGAAGTTATTAAACATACTATTTCTTAGTCATTATAAGTTTTCAATAATAATTTTTGATAAAATGTTTTGATTTCTGGGTAGATTCATTTTTAAAAATTACTGAATATTTCATTATCTCTTTACTAGCTTTATGTATCTCATCACAGTCTACCGATTTAAATTGTTAAATTCATGAATCATTATGAAAAAAGAATAAGTTTTTTTGAAAAATAAAGAAAAATTATATGAAGAACAGAAACAAGAGCTTATATGAAGTCACTCATGACCGACGAAAACGCATTTCTTCATGCACAGAACTAGAATTTCAAATAATAATATCTATTATAGAGCTTTCAATAATTAGCACCTGACGACATCCATCAGCTGCTTTAAAAACTGAGAATTAAGTGGCAGACGCTCAGACAAAACATCAAGAATAAGCTTCAAAATGAGTTAAAAAGATTTGATAAAATTTCAGTTAATGACAACTAATGCTCAGTTATTAAATAATGTCCTGTTAAATCATCTGTCAAGCTTTCATGCACCCCAAAAAATATTCACAAACAAAAAATCAATTATTTAATTCATTGAAAAAAATCTAAATAGAGGACGAAATGCAGCATAGCAAGTTCTAGGTCGTGGCAACATAAAAATATGCATTAGACAACTGCCTGAATTGCGAAATAAAAGTTTCAAAAGCTCAAAAGTGTAATAACGATTTTTTAAAATTCAAAAATTTTAAAAAGAATTCAAACCCCAAAAATGATAGCCGAACCACCAAAATCCATTTCATAAACATTGTGCAAGATAGTAAAGTAATTTTAATGTTTTTAATTAAATTAACATAGTAATCATAGATATATTAATAGTATTTTGTGTTTAAAAGTGACATTACAAAGTTATAAATGAGTGTGAATAATCGTTAATTATAGTGGATAAAATAATAGTTTAAGTGTTTTTGAAGGTTCGACGATCAAAATATTTCTTTTCATTAAGCAAAGTTTCAAAATATTCAAAGAACATTAAAAAGTGGAAAAATAAAGGAAAAAATCTGTCAAATGAGTCTAAAATTAAAAGTGTAGACGAGTGAATTCAGTGAGAAGGTTAATTATACTAAATTGCATAAAGTCAATCAATTTTCTACTCAAATTAGTGCGATATTCAATGGAAAATAGTTTTATTTACCATTTACAAAAAATATTAAACTTGATAAAATTCTAATTTATTTACATTTTTAAGTTGGGAATTGATTAGTATTTCAGCCTAATAGCTGCAATTTAAACCAGTCATTTGGTGAAACAAGATCCCAACTTAAAATACACGCATATTAATTCTTTTTTGATGAAGTTAAAGTGATGAAAATGTTTTTAAATTTAAATATAGAACTTATCAAATAGTGCAAAAAAACGTAAGTATTGTGCATTGTTTAAATCGTAAAAATTAAATTAGAGTAATTTGCTGTCCTGTTGTGCAAAAGCAGCAATGAAATTTTTCAAAGGAAATGAAAAATTGCAACATCAAATCAGAAATTTGCCAAAAAAATGAAGAAAAATCCTTCTTATTCTTGCTATTTCGCTATCATTTTTCTCTTTGGTTCCTTTCCGTGTCACATCGAATTAAATAATTTTCATCTGTATGTTTACGCACGTATTTAATTTGGTTAATTCATCAAGCTAGTCCGCATATAATTCATCGGCTAAACCATGAAAAACACATAAATTTATGCGTAAATTAAATTATTTTATGCCAGCGCCAGCAGTGAAAAAAAAATGATTTTTTTAATTACATATTCTTAAAATGAGATTAATGCTTTGCGTCAATAAAATTAAAAAATTCATATTTTATTTGATTACTTAAATACACATTCATTCATTCAGTCAGTCAGATGAGATCAATAAAAATACGATATCTTACTAGAGGCTGACTATAAAAAGTCTTCATAAAATTAAATTGAATTTCTTCTCGCTACACTTTAAATGTGCTCAAATGCTGCCTGACTGCCTTTATACATACATATAGCTCTACATATTGTCACGTAAAATTGTATGCAAATTTTTCGTTATAGCCTAAGGTCATAACATCAGCACAGAATGTTTCTATACACCAATAACGTTAGACCTTAAAAATAAGTTTTTTCTTACGGAAACATTATGCAGACTTGAATATTGATTTGGCTTGGAAAATTTTTCTCTCCTTTTCTTTCCACCGAATTTTTAAAGCAAAAGCAATAGGCAAAGCAGAACAGAACAAAAACAAAACAAATGTTCATGACGGTCAAAAACGCTGGAAAAAGAGCTCACACTTTAAATAATATTTTCTGACATAATAAATCAAATTTGATCGCTTTAATTGCTGCTATGTTTTTCCTCACAATTTCTTCTCCATAATCAATCATAAAGCAGAGGGAGATGAAAAGCATTGAGTCTCATTTTCTTGATCTGCTGACGATGCTAGTGCTACTGCTTGAATGAACTGTCATGCTTCATAAATAAATATCAGATCGAATCTTATTTCATCAATAATCTCTCAAATTCATAATTCTCAAAGAAATGGAAATAAACTTCCAAAAAGTACTCAAATTTAAATGAATCAAATTTCCGACTTGCTTTTTATTATTTATTATTATTATTATTCGGTGAATGTGTACACTTTCCACTCACTCGCTTACTCATTGAAGCTTTCATTCAAAAACGAAATGAAACGAAAGAAATCAGGCTAAGAGGAAACGTAGAGCTTTTATTAATAATAACTAATTGTGTATATAAAATCAACGCATATTGGACAAACTATATATAATGGAAGGAATCAGATTATAAATAAGTTGCGGAAAACAGTAATGGTTCAAACCACAAAAAAAATAGCTATATATACGAAAATGTCATATCCATTAAATTCAAGTTATATCCTTTCATGAAAATGAAAGTTTTTCATTTGAATCTCTTAATACTTTCGTCTAGTATATAGAATCTATGATACGACGAGAAAATTTACATTCCATGCGCATACAAAACGTGTACTTACAACGAGTAATTTGTGTTGAGTTGTAGATGTATGTGAAAAATACATTTATACTTTATACGAATTCTTGATTTGCTAAAACTCTGGTTAGACGTGTGAAAAAGTTTCCACCATTGATTGAAAAAATTGTCTTAAAAACTAACGTGGACACGGAATAAATATTATTTTTTAACAAATTAAATATAAAAGTTAAATAATATATCGGATGCTAATGAAGTGAAGCATGCCAAGTGCATTTTATTAATATTGAATATAAAAATAATCAATATCCATCAAACGAGAGAATCACGGGAAAAAAAATATTACTTGAGGAAAATATATGAAATAAATGAAATGTGTTTAAAAGTTCTAAGGATGTAAAGTTCTAGCTAGACTCGCTAAGTGGAAATAAATTTAAGGAATTGTTAAAAAAAAAAACAAAAAAAATTTGACGAGAAAAAAAGAGTCGTAAAAAAATAATATTAAATTAAGTTCTTTTTTTATAAAAGTGTTTGGGCAGATAAAATAAAAGGTTTATTAAATTGATTTTTATATTCGTAATCGTCACAATTCTTTCATTATGTTGCGTGTAAAGTGTTCATGAAATTTCATTATAAGTAAATGAAAAATAGCTAGGAGAGAAAAGTTAATAGCGATTTATTAATTTGAGAAAATTATCACAAATTGTTTTTAATTCCAATAAGTTTCAACATACATTACACAAAACTATAATAACAATTTGATTGATTTATGACACTCCAAAGTTCCTTTTGATAAGCTTATTTATGGATGAGCCACATTAAAAAAATGTTTTATTTCCAAAGTTATACAATTGAGCAAGTATAGGTGATTCATGTAAGATGGTACGCGTGGGAGGTATTGGTGAAATCAAGCAATACAAATAATTCTAATCTTTTAATACGCAAACAAACAAAAAATATTGAACTTTATGTAAAATTAGATCATACTATTAAAAAAAATATTCATGAAAGATGTTTCATTATTCTTTTGAAGATCTCTCGATATACATTCTTCATGACTGGCTTAATTTATTACCGAGATGCGTACATATAAATCGTGAGAACAAATCATTTTTTGTTGTATACATTGAAATGTTTTCTGAATTATTTAATATTGTTCACAAAAAAAAAAAAATCGTAATATACATTAAAAACAGTGATTTTTCATTGTATTCATGAAGTTCATCAGTGGTTCATTTTGCGGGTAAGGCAAGGCAAGGGGAATATATCTTGAGCGAAATATTTTAAAATCTCATTAATAATTGATTAATTTGGTTCGCGTAATGAACAATATGAGAGAAATCAGCCATACAAACTTTATATATATATATTGAAATATCAAAAGAGCGCTTTACAAAGCAACCGTGTAGACCTAATTGACACAATTAGCATCTTATTAAGTGCTAAAATTAAATTACTACGAGTTGTGATATCGATTTTTAAAGTAAAGTTTCAACAACCAAAAAAAAATATTCGTGTACAATTTTAGAAAGCTGAGTAAAAATGGGATGTTTTGGAAGCAAGGATAAACTCTCGAAAGAGGATATGGATTTCTTGAAGTCACATACAAGATATGATGAAAGTACCATTAAAGAATGGTATAAAGGCTTTAAGGTAAAATCGACACGAAATATATTCGACGTAGAATTGAATCCTTAATTTTTTTTTATTTAATACTGACGTTATCAATTGATTATGTTACTTACTCATTTATTAGACATTCTAAATAAACGAGTCAATAAAGCAACCATCTGCTATGTCTTTTTTTGGATCGCTTACTCATCTTCTCCATAATAGTGCAGCATTATGATTGATTTAAAAAATTACGAATCTTTATTTCTATGATTATTTTTTTTAGCAGATTCAAGTATAGTAGGAGTAAGTGAAGAGCTTCAAACGTCTTGTAAAACATGTTTTTAAAAACAATTTTTTTATTTTTTGATGAAACCTTTTTTACTGATTCCTTTTTTGCTCAATACTTTATGAAAAGATTCTGTTAGGAATTCATGCTACAACATATGACCTTATTTTACTTTTGATATGTATGTTAGCAAATTGCTTGGGGGCAGTAAATGAAGCGAGCATTAATATTGAACATCTTTTCCAAAAGACTAATTTTCTTGACTGGAATCAAGGTTGTGGATTATTTTCAAATTTATAACTTAACTTCGAGTTTTTAAGATTGATTCCAATGTGTTAAAAATTAGACAAAACATAATCGATTGACAGCGTACAGTACAGCAAACAAAAAGCCATCAAAAAAGAGAGAAACACAGTTTGCAGTGTAGAGGAGATTTTTTATGGTCTGATCTTTATAATTTAGTACTATTCTATTTCATACATGTCCCTATATTCCGCAGTTGTGTTCCGTTTCTCTCTTTTTCCTCCTTTTAATACACAATCCAATATAAATTCGGTTTAGTGAGGATTCTAAAGTTAATTGTTATTAAAAATTCAGTATCAATAATATTTTCCCTTCCATGCACCCTCTCCTTATGACTTTTATAGCAAGATTGTCCGAATGGTCGACTAACACCTGCTAAATTCGTCGATATGTACAAAATGTTCTTTCCATCAGGCAATGCTGAAGAATTTTGCGATCATGTATTTCGAACATTTGATATGGATAAAAATGGTTATATCGATTTTAAGGTATGTTTTCTTTATAACATAATGAAAAGAGCACTTTATCGCTCTCAACTATAGTAATAATAATAAAGTCATAAACTCGTACCTTACTATACAGCCCCCCTTAAAAGTAAAGAATCATGAAAAAAAGATTTAAAAAATCATGCGAAAAGATTTCATCAGCATGTATAAGTCTCGGTACGCTTATTTACATTCTTTTTTCATGTGCGCGCTTATAAATCAACGTGAAATATTAAATTTGAATTTAATAATTAATGCTCTACCCACTTACTAATATAGCTTTTTTGAATAATGAAAAACTTGTATTTTTAATAGCATTGACTCTAATTTAATGAGGAACTCCACCGTACATTGTTTTAATTCCTCTAAAAAATAATAACTTTTCGACGATTTTCCTTTTATTTTGCTTCACGTCTGCTCCTCCATAAAAGTTTTTCCACAACATTATTCCTTTATGAATTTTAATTATTCATCAAAAAATTTGTCTTAAGGATTCGGTCTGATTTTCTTATTCCGTCATGCATTAAAATGGGCAGGAGAGCTTTAAAAAGTTTATTTTATTTGAAAATATCATGCCAGACGTAATTTATGAACATCCCCATAATGAATTACTTAAAATGAAATGTGTGTTTGTGTAAAACTTTAACAAGAGCGAGTTTTTTTTTTGGTTTAACTTTAAAAGGAAGCATTAAAAAATTATGAAAAGTAAAGTCAGAACTGAATATTCATGAATGTCTTTGTTGAACAAAAAATAGGAATTTCTTTTGGCGATTGATGTAACATCAAGTGGAACGCCTGAAGAAAAGCTGAAGTGGGCTTTTCGAATGTATGATGTAGATGGAAATGGTGTAATAGATATTCAGGAAATGACAAAAATAGTACAGGTATGATGGAGACATTAGACTATTGATTTTCTTAATTGTATTGTTGGATGCTTGTTTTATTTCTGCAATTTTCTTCCCTATTTCCTTTCACTATTTTAATTGTGTGGTATATATCCTTTTTAACAGGCAATTTATGATATGCTTGGTGCTTGTTCTTCAAACAAACCAGCTGATTCAGCTGAAGATAGAGCTAAAAATATTTTCGCCAAAATGGATGAAAACAATGATGGACAGTTGACGCAAGATGAATTCCTTAAAGGATGCTTACAAGATGAAGAGCTTTCCAAAATGTTGGCACCTTAATTTACTCTACGTAATCATTTCGAGCTCTATGATATATTAAATTGGACACGATATTTTATCCTTTTAACAAATATGTTTGTTAATTTTATCAAGACTAAAAAGTATAACATAAATGAATACCTTTCTAAATTTTAAAAAGAGAAAAAAAAAAACGATCCTGAAATCCTATCTGGAGATGTTATGAGAAAATGTGATTTTCGTATATATTAGGGCAATTCCATATATTGACCAAGTTTGTCGTTAATATGATAAACGTACTATTTGATACCAAAGGTACTAAATTCTTTATAACTTATTATGATACACTTTTTTGCACATTCCTTTCTCCCAAAACGAGCTCCTCAGATTGAATCAATCCCAAGAAACTCTAAACGTCAGGATTCTTTGTATTATTTAAATCCCTGAAAAAAAAATTAATGCATTTACAAGAAAAAATAATAATTACGTAAGGAAGGATAAATCTTTTATACAATTAAGTTAATCAAATGAAAAAAAAACTGACATTGCATGTGTAAATCATCGAACTGTTCGTTTCATTCATGGAATTGCCCCCAATTCAAAGGCCTAAGCGTAACCACAACTTGACAATCTTTTAGCACGTTAGAATATTTTGTCAATTTTTTGCTTTTTATAAACGACTATTTAAAGTTTTTAAAAGTATTTACTGCCTATCCCCTCTATCTCCCCCCTAATTCGTTTGATCGGAAGAGAGGCTAGAACGGAAGCTTAAAGCAACAAATGATATAATGGAAATTTGATAAAAATCGAGATAGGAAAAAAAAAACAAAAAAGATGAAGATAAAGATTATTAAAGAGGCTTCGCATTAATGTTCAACATTTTATCCTCATTGTGTTTCTTTTATGTTTAATCTTCTCTCACTTCGGTGAGATTCATTATCCTTCTTGTCATCAAAAAAGACAAGCAATGATATTAATAATTCATTTATAATGATTGTTTAAGAAAAAAAGAGAATTGTTTGTTGTATACGTATGTTATCACTGAGTATGAAAGAAAAACTTGAAAATAATTCATTTAAAATTCATATTTATTTCATGGCAAGAACAAAAATTAACAAACACAGCAAAAACTGATGTCGAAATTATTCAAATGAGCACAAAAATATTGGATATGTGTGTACGTAAAATAATTTAGTTGTTCTCATATGCACAACATTTTTCGTTGTTTTTCTGTTACGTTGAATTATAGGCTTGAAGAGCTTAATTTTGTGTTATTAAATTAATTAAACGTTTTCGTTGTAATTATTATTGTGCTAATTGAGTTTTTAACAAAAAACAAGGTGGAAAAATACTCAAGCTTTGCGAAAAGTTAAGCATGTTTCAGCCTTGTAGCGATATCAATTTTTTGTTCTTGCCAATTGTTAAATCCAAATCAAGACATGAATAGAATCAAAAAACAAATTCATGTTGCAAAGTGCAAGTTCTAAAAACAATTCCATTTCACACACAAATAAAAAAAAACATTTCTATCCTCACGCTTCTAGCTGAATATATATATCTACTTTCTGTATACACTAAAAGGAAGAGAAGAAAAAAATAATCCCACGTAATACAACTCAAAATGAATTGTTTACTTACCTATGATAGAAACGTATCGAGTTTGAATTACACACAGGGTTGAAGTATCCGGATATTTTTTGATCTGTAGCGAAAGAAACAAAAAAAAAAGATTTTTTCATACATTTTTTACATTCCAAGAATACCTTTATGATGAATGATGATGATGATAACATTATTATTCTAATAATTATACTTGTGCTATTTATTATAAGAACCTTTTACCTTACTACAAACTACTATTCCCTACTGAATCTGCTAACTTTTTAAATAAATACATAAACACTTCAGCACTATCCTTTAATTTCTAACGAGAAGAAAAGAGTAAAAATTTCTTATAGAAATGTCCTTAAAAGCTGAATGTGAGAGATAAGTTGAGAGATCTTAGATCTAATTGTATGCATTATTCATACAGTAGAGTGCTATATACACCCCCATTTAAAATTATATAGGAGTTTCGACCACAAATTTTAGCCTATACCCGCCTAAACCTTTCTATTGATTATTTAATTCTATCAAATTTTATCGATAATGCAAATTTCTCTCTCTTTGTTTATCTTCCTTTTTTTCACATTAAACATTTATTTGTTCTTGTCATACCCTACCCACCCACCCTGCCTTCAATTGTTTACCTTAAATTTTTACGAAATATTAAGTAACAAATCATAAACAAATATGTAAAGGAAAAAAGAGGAGAAAATAATTGAATATAAAATTTTCCAAGTGCTTCAGATATATAAATATGTAGTTTTCCTTATAATATTGGGAAAGAAGACAAAAAATACAATTGTCCATAGTACTTAATATTATGTACTTTATCAGCTATCTAATTTCGAATTCGAAACTTGGCATACTATAGATGTAATTTTAAAGAATAATAAAAAGAAGCATTTTTCATTATCATTTAATTTTAAACGAAAGTGTTTATGGATGTTCCATACAGCATGAATGAAAAACTTTTGCATTTATAATGGCAACATTGGAAAATAAAGTAGAATTAATTGGGCATGCTAACTCAATGATAGTAGCATTTAGTAATTAAAAAATTTATTTAACTTATTAGAAAAACGTGAAAAATTAATTTCCTCGATGAATTTAAGATAAGTGGAAGAAGCTTTGCTTGTTTGAAGTGAAAATTTGATCCTTGAGAAATTTATTTGCCGTGAGTTGCACTCCAAGACTAAAAGACATTCTCATAAAAACTATCGCTGCCATCAACGTAAAAGCTCATGATGACAAAATTCATTTTTAAAGAGTTTCGATAAAAATAAATAATTCAAATTCAACTGATGAATTTAACTGCTTTTATATCCAGAGGAAACAAGTCGAATTCAACTTGAATTATTTATTTTTTCACAAACGTTTGCAATGATAACAGACATCCAAAATGAATGTAGAATTATTTTTGTGCACATGTCAGAAATAACTTTGAATCGAAACATTTGTTCGAATTATTGCACATCAAACAGTTTACAACCTCTGTAGTTTTAGTCTAGGGAATCTGTTCAGCCATCAATTTTACATTTATGTACATGAAAACCTTTTCCACTTCAATCATTCAAGATCTCATTCGAATATATGCCACTATCAACAAGATCTGTACTTATGGCAGCTCCTAACTTATGTTTATTGCTTTAACTCGTAGCTCGTACCATAATTCCTTACCATTAAGAATCATTTAACTACATATGCTTGTAATATTGATTTTAATCTTATCGAGATTGTACAAGTAAAACTATATTCACTTAAAGAGTTTCTAAAACCTGTAGATTTCTCGGTTTAACTTGAAATTTCATAAAAATTTTGACATCAAACTGACAAAGCTTCTCCCTTATGAATTTAAGATTGATATGAAAAAATATTCAAAATTTAATTTCTTCCTTTCGAGTTTTTCAAATTGAAACTTTTCTCTTTCTCGACAAGATTGACAAGTCGAGAAAAATATCTGTCAATATCATTCAACACAGTCTGATCTAATAAATGTGAGTCCATTTTTAAAGAATTTCTTCAAATATAATAAATGATATTATATATTGAGTATCAAAACAAGTGTATCAATTAACAAAGAATTTCACTTCATTTTCATATTTGAAAATATGTCAAGATAATTTTTTTTTTTAATAAATGTCGATAAGGTGTTGTCAAATGAATTTGAGGAAGATAAAAAATTAAATTTGAAAATTTTTAAAAATCTTTAAAATAAATTTAATTATAATAAATAAATAGTAAATGAGGGATAAAGTTTATATTTCATTAATATTCGAATGAATGTTACATAAGCATTATCGTTCCCCCAGAAACAAATTTAAGAGAAAACCATGCACACACCAAGAAAATAAACCCTTTTGGAAGATTTTTTTATATGTAAAAAATCTTTATAAAAATGATAATTGAATCATAAGAAAATGATGGAAAGAGTAATATACATATTTAAATAATATATCATGATATCAGTGTTCAGAAATATTTACAAATTTGTAAGTTTAATCCATTGTCTTTGCAATTAATGGATTTTATTGGTAAATATGATTTTTATATAAAGAAAGAATATAAAATGACATACAACATGAAGATGATAATAATTCCATAAACTTAATACATTACCTGACGTAATCAATGATCTAAACATATAGAACATTACAACAAACTTTATCAGAATCATTTAAAAAATTTGAATTTTTTTTTGTTTTCAAGTTTTCAGTCCACTGCATTTTTTTCACGAATACTAAAACACATGTTCAGGAAAATAAAAAAAGATATTGTTTGTTTATGTGATTTTCTCTCATTCCTTTTTTTTGTGAAATGCTAAATATAACATTAAACTCATGACGTTACAAAACATCCATTAATAATAAACTCTTTACAAACTCAAAAGAATGAAGCAGAATCGGGCAGAAGAGTAAAAATAAAATTATTTTCTGGTATTTTCTCTATATTTATTTATTTTTGTAACGTATCCCACCTTATCTGCTGTCTAATGATGCTAATTATAACAATTTTTGAACACAACCATCGAATGTACCATCCTGATTAATATTAATACTAACATTGATGATGATGAGAATATATCTACTATTAACTCTGTCAAGAGAGCTAAATGCAAACTTTATTCTACATATATCAATTAATTATTCATTTCAACAAAACTCAATCATAATCTAGCATTTCATTTCGAACTTAACATAAATTGATGATGATATAAAAAAAAATTATAGATAAACCGCATATGAAGTATACATAATATAATTTCTATAAAGGCTAGATGAACATTATTAAAGAAATATTATTAATAGCACAATGAAGCAATGTTGAATATATATAACGCAGGATATAAATATATAGTATTTACCAGGAAAGTTTCCTTTAAAGCTGCATCAAAAATGCTCGCTGAAGTTTAGAATGAGTGTTGCAGGGATATCTGTCAGAATAATCGATAAAAACGTGAAAACTCCTTCTAAATTCCAGCAAGACATAAAAGCTCATTGTTTCAAAATTATTTATTTATGTCAAAAAAGCACAATATTCAGTCACAAGCAGATGTACGCATACATATTTATAAGTTCAATCCATTTTAAATGAAAAAAAAAGAAATATTTCAATCATCATCGCACTTTAAATTGATGTTATATTAATAGCTATAATTAAATTTTCGCAAAAAAATAAAGTAAACTGCACAAAATTCCTTTCCAACGAATGAACAACAAAAAAAACTCTGAAATGAAAATTCAATAATTAATATAAAAAAAAAAAATCTTTTTGTGTATCTGTAACTTCATGTTTCAAGTTAATTTTTTCTTTTATTTTCCAATATGAGAGAAGAAAAATAAAATCTTGTAGGTAGAATAGCAAAATTTTGCACTACAAATGATTAAATTTCTATTTTTAAATAATCGATCTATGGGCCATGTTAAAAATCATAACGATTCTTATGCTATTAGATGAGACAGAATAAAAAAAAAAAAAAAACATAATTTATAGTTTATGAAATTACACGAAAAAGGTTGAAACAAGTATTTAATTTAATTTCATTACCCCTGAAAAAAGATAGGATTATGTGCTTAAAAAATAAATTTTAAATTGCAATACTTGGAGTGTAAAGAAAAGTTTTTCTTTATAGCTCGTTATAAAAGCAGATACCTTAATGGTTAAAAATTAATGTTTTCCTCTCAATTTATCAGAGAATAAATTACCAAGCGTAAGAAGACAAACTTTGTATCTGTTTGACTTAAGACAATTTTGCTCTAATAAAACTTTTCTTTCGACTACCAACATCTCATTATAATTTATTTATTTATTTATTTACCGTCAGTTCTCATCCTGTTTAGTTCATTTATCATGGAAACTATAAAACTTATATCTACTTGATATTCAAGAAAAAAAAACTTGCACTTCCCTTTAGAGAAATATGTCATAGATATTAAGGAAAACATTGTCGGATTATAAATTTGCTTAAAATGATCCAAAAAAGAAATAAATATAAATATTGGCAAGAGAAAATTTAAGGCACTAGCAATAGAGAACCTGTATTTAATGTATTTTATTGATGATTCCATTGTGTTCGGATGCGATATTCAATGAAAAAAAAAAACTGAATTAATTTCCATAATTTCATTTGGTTCTCCACAAAAACTGTCAACATGCTGTTGGCATTTTCGTGCGGCATCAAATGAGTTTTATTGAAAAGCATCCGATTGAAAGGTTCTAAAACAAAATAGAAATTGGAACATTCATGAGACATAAACTACAAGTTTTATTTTATTTTGGAAACTCATCAATATTCAATCATTTTTATTTTCAATCCAATACAAGATTATAAAGTATATTAAATATAAATGTCCTGCCTAAATATTTTTAACTTGCATTACAAGTAGTAAATCATACAAAAAAGAAACCAATGCTTATTGCATAATTCATAATGAGAAGAAAAAAAATTGTATTATGATTGAAAATATCTTAAACCAAATAAAAAACGAAACCAAATAACTGTAAATTCATTCATTTATTTTTAACGAACTTAATTATTGCGACTACTCAAGCTACTGACAGAAATGTCACCAAAAAAGTAGTCCTAGGTTTATTAATTTGAGTACTGAATAGAAAGTTGATTGCAAGTATAAATTGATTGTGAAGTTTAAAAATTGAAAAATTGTTCTAATAATAAAATATTCTTTTCTCTCCACAGGCACTGCCTCGAGGATAAAATAAAAATCAATAAATTAATTATCTTTAGGTGAAATGCAAACACAAAATTGTTAAATAGTTTTTAAAAAATTGACAACAAAAATATACAAGGAGAATAAGCTACAAAAGGTCCACTAATTAAACAGCATAAAACTTGTCAACCAAAGAAGTCATATTTAAAGCAAAAGAAGTAGATATGGGTAAACAAAACAGTAAATTAAAACCCGAAGTTTTAGAGGATCTGAAGCAGAACACGGAGTTCTCTGGTAATAAGTTAATAAATTATAAATTTTCTTATTTAAATATTTAATGATGTTTTTACAAAACCTTTTTGTGTCATGTCAAATTCATTTAGATGCTGAAATTCAAGAGTGGTATAAAGGCTTCCTGAAAGATTGTCCAAGTGGACATTTGTCGGTTGAAGAGTTTAAAAAAATTTATGGGAACTTTTTCCCTTACGGTGACGCCAGTAAGGTTTGTACAACATATTTCTTTTTATCATTTAATGTCCTTCCTGTCAAACAAAATTAAAATGTTAACATTTATATTTATTTCTTTTGTTCCTTCTCTTTAAACAGTTCGCTGAACACGTTTTTCGTACATTTGACGCAAACGGTGATGGTACAATTGATTTTCGAGAATTCCTATGCGCATTGAGTGTCACATCAAGAGGAAAGCTTGAGCAGAAACTTAAATGGGCTTTTTCAATGTACGATTTAGACGGCAACGGATATATATCACGTCAGGAAATGCTTGAAATTGTCACAGTAAATATTTTTCCTTCTTTTTATAATAAATTTTTTTATTTTTTCTATCCCATGTTTACCGTATTTCAACGCATTCTTGATAAAACATACGAGCTTATGTGCTCATATTGTTTTATCGATTTGCTGTTTGTGCCATTTAATTTTTGGATGTGAGACAAGAAATCTGTCTTTGAGCCATAATGGGGGTGTTTTTCGAACGGAGAAGATGATCTTTAAAGATAGTTTGAGTTATTTATTTTCTTGTGGGAAGGGTTTTTTGCTGTTCCTTTAATTAATTCTAGCTTTTTAATTGCTCCTATCCTTTTTATGTCTCAATACTGTCTCTGGGAGTTTTATGAACTTTGATTTATGTTTTACGGACAAGGATTACTCTTTTCTTTTTACTTTTTTTTTGCCGCAGTGCTGGTGTATGTTTATAAATATCTGCCAAAAAATGTTTAGAGTAATTTTTTATTACTCATTTATCTCATGTTTAAGTCAAAAATTTTATAAAAAGATTGAAGCATTCAGACTGAGTCAGACATAATTTGTGAGACAATTTTTTGTAGATTCAATTGGTGCCAGATTGTTGTTTTTAAATGCAATTTAACTGTACCTTTAAAAATGCGCTTAAAACCTAAAGAATATTTGATGTTCTTGACACGAAAGGGTCGAGCTACATTTTATAGAATCAAAACCTTTTCAACATTTTATTTTCTTTGACTCAAAACATTCTTTGGTAGTGATAGTTTCCAAGACTACAATAAAAGACTGAAAATCTCAGAAAACTGAGTGCTGTGCCGTAAGGCACCATTTGAGAATCTTTGTTTCTATCTTCTTTTCAATTTCTACACAAAATTCTGTTCTGGCATGAACAATGAATGTATCATTTATTATTCACACTCAGAAATGTCAAATAATTGATCCCAGGGATCTTCTGAATTAGTCTAGTTGCTGTCCAGATGTAAATGTTGCATCATGGTCCATCTCCAAAGACAAATTTATCCTCATAAATTTTCTCTCTTTTTTTTTTGGTCTGCAAATCTGTTTATATTAATTTATTTTTTTTTATCTTTCCTTCTTCTCTTGTGCTTTTTTCTAGGCAATATACAAAGTGAGTATATGTTTATAAAAAAAAGTTTTTCGTAGTGTATTTTCACACTCTCTTCTTTTTGTAATGCTATTTTATTCTTTTTTTTCTAATGATTAAATGCTTGTTTTTCTTCTTATGAAATGTGCACAATAATTATATACGAAAATATAATATAACAATCCTGTGTAGATGGTCGGTAGCGTAATGAAAATGCCAGAAGATGAGAGCACACCCGAGAAACGTACTGATAAAATATTTCGACAAATGGATAAGAATAAAGATGGAAAATTAAGCTTAGAGGAATTTATTGAAGGAGCTAAGAGCGATCCTTCAATTGTTAGATTGTTACAATGTGATCCGCAGTCGCACTGAATAAATTTCCTTACCTTAATAATTAAAGTCATTCTTTTTATAGTCATTTTCAATGAATAAGGAAGGAAATAGAATATGCCATACAAGAATCGAAGGAATTTTTCACATATAAGTACATTAGCTCTTTAGTTAAATGAAACAACAACATTAAAAAAATTATTGATACAAGATTTAAAAAATCGGTAAAATATGTATGAATCGTTAATCTTTTAACTTAGATAAACATTAAAAAATTACAATTTTTAAAGAAATCAAACACTCTTTAAAGATATCACTTTAAAATATATGATTCTCAGCCCTATTGCCTCATTATACTATATGCAAGCATTGCATAGTTTTTGTATTGTTTTATTTTAATTTTTTAAGATCAGAATTTAAATTATTATTAGTTTTATTATATATTATTATACACCGAGTTTTCTTGTGTTTTTAAATAACGTATTTTCCTTTTTGGGTCATTCAAAAAATGACGTCTACTAGTTTGACACCATTTTTGAACGACCCCTTAGTAATTATAAAGACAAAAGACTATTTCTCAATACCTTAATGAGAAATAGAATATCAAGGTACAGAAACTTTAAAGGATATAAGACATTCTTTCAATAAAAACACATCCTAGTTGACGTACCTTGCAAAATAAAATTATTCATTAATTAAAACTTTCTCTAAAAAGCATAATTTTTCTCTCTTTCTAAAGCATCAGCATTTTAATAAGCCTTAAAAAACATAGAAAATAAAATTGACACCTTAATAATCCTTGCAAACCTCAAAATGAAATACTAGATATGCCTATGTACATTATGAGCATGTGTTATTCCCAAAACTATAGCCAACATAATTAATTAAGTTTAATTAATGAACTTTCAAATTAATTTACTGATCTACCCCTTAGGAAAATACGTTATTTTGTTTTATATAAATACACACGACTTCCTTTATGTTTTTGTGTGTATACACACAGCCGTTTTGTTTGTTGCATTCGCCTACATTCATGAGTCATTTTTAAATAATAATAAAAAAATTGAGAAAAAAAGAAAAAAAAATTTGAAATGTTTAAAAAAACACATTTTTTTGCATTATTTTGTTTTATTGAATTTTTTTTACATTTTGGTTTAGACAAAAAAAAATATCAAAAAGACATGACACGAGTAATATGACCAAGAATTAAATAAAAAAATTTCTAATATAACGATTCAAATATTGAATAGTAAGAATGTTAGCATGAAAGGTTTCATTCAGCTTCTTCCTTAATTGAAAAAAAATGTTTCTGTGTTTAAAGTCATACTTTTTTCATAACATAAACAGAACTTCCTTTACGACAGCTGAAGAAAGCTTAAGTGTTCCACTATAGTTTTCTACAATTAAAAAAATATTCAGTTTAGTTTTTAAATGAAAATGTTTTCATTGTGTGTAACAGACAACAAAAGTATCCTTAACATACTTCCTTCCAGAGTTGTTGACTGGGTCTGTTTGGCTTGCAATTGAGGATTTTTTGAGTGGATTTGTTGAGGTTATATTGTTGTTCCAACTCTGGATGTACTTCAAGTAAGATAAATTCGCCCTGATTTTATTCACCTTTAAGTTGAAGTAGTTGAGTACGGATTTTTCTCTCAGGCAGTATTTCATGAGTTGTAGAACGAGCAAAACCATTGTTTTAAAACACTTTAACATTTCTATTTTAAAAAAAAAATCCACAATAAAAGAATCTAAGCACCTGGATAACAACTCGACTTCCTTCTCAGTAATGAAATTACTCAACCGTCTTATTTAATCAAAAGAAAAAGTATCTAAAATAATATTTCGCATGGTCTTAGTTTTCCCAAAGATTGACTTCTGAAGATATTTTTTTCAAATAATGCTTGAATTTTGAGATTTGGTCTTTCAAAAGTTGAAGTTTGAAGCCTAAAACAATTGCTAAATAGATGTACAAATAAACTGAAAAATTATATCTAATATAGAACTATGACAAGTCAAGTTTAAAATTTCTTAGAAAGCTGTCTCTTTTGAAAAACTAAGTCCAATTTTTTAAACAACGTTAAAATTCACTAGCTGTTTGTTGAATCTATGACCAACAAAATTTCTCTCATGAAATTCCAGTTGAATTAATGAAATTATTAGCAATTAAAAGTTTTAATCTATTAAAGTTTTTATCGCAAAAACTTTCAAAAAAATAAATGATGATAAAAAACCCTTTTGTGCTCCTTCAAAATTGAGCAATATAGCGTAAATTCCTTATACCTATTGATGATAATATCATTACTATTTTACTCTAAATTTTCAAACTTTAAACAATTTAGAGTTAACCTTCAAAAAATGAGAAATAAAAAACAAAAAATGATGAAACAAAATTTTAAGGTGTTGAAAATTTATTGCACTGCAACCGCGATCACAAATATCATATTGTCTAGATAGCACATAAGATGTCAATTTTTTTCTCACCCAATGAAATGAAATGAAAAAGTACATTAAGAAAAATAATAAATGATGAATGAAAATGTGTTTCAGAAAAATTTTATTTTAACTATTTCATGACGTAAAAGTAAAGTTAAACTTAACTTTTAAAATTTTTATGATAAACTCGATAAACTTTAAAACAAAACAATGATTACATCTTCCATGCAAAATATCAATTGAATTTGAGCGTGGGAATTTGAGTAGATTTTCTTTTGCTAAAGCATCCAAAACTTGTCATTTGAAATTTTTTGGGATTGATCATATTTATATGTCAATTTATATTCGGATGGAATTGGACCGGTCAAAAAATTTGACATTTGATCGAAAAGAACCATTTCCATCCGTCACAAACCCCTTTATAATTTAAACAGTTTAAGCCATTTACTATAGGATTCTCTATGACGTCTTTTGAGTGAGGCTGAAGCTGTTTGGATCGTGATAAAAATTCACAAATGATACTTTTGATGCTTTAAAGCTTTGCTGCTGCTGATTTAATTTTTTGATTATATTCTTTAAACAGCTTTCAATATTGAGACTTTATAGGATTTTATATAGCAATCCTAGTAAATAGTGATGGATTTATTGAAGGATATCCTTAACTTTAACTTTTCATTAAGATTTGGTTTTTGAAAGTGCCTAAAAAATACTTCAGAAAAGTTATAAGGAATGTTTCCTGAAAATTCAATCCATTAATCCTTAAAACAATGATTTAGCCATTCCATTTAAAACATGCTCTCTGAAATAAAAAATAAAAGATAATCCTGAAATAAATCCATTCACAGACAGCTCACTCCAGTATTGAAAGCCCTAATTCTTTATCTACAATTTTCACTCTGCCTATAAGCTGCAATTCTTGTCTTAAAAAATTTTCGTTACAGTTTTCCTTTCAGCAATTTACCTTTCAACTTTATTTATTTTCTTCATCCAATATTTTAGCATGTAGGTAGCTTTTGAAGCTTTGCCGTTTCGCACGCAATATTTTTTTTTGTTTATAAACTTTTTTGCCTAGACTTTAAGCCTTCACACCTTTTTCACAACATAATCTGTTATCTTTCATCACTATTTTGTTTATCTACTGAATTAAAATTGAAGTTGTTTTGAGTTTCTTATCAATTTTATAAAGCACAAAATCACGAATCTCATGGAGAACCGAATCAGAGATTTTCATCTGAATTCCTCATTTCCAAAGAAGCTTTAAGTTTGCTTTGAATGACGTTAAAATTCAGAAAAGTCTCATTTGTTGTTCCCCCTTGGGCTGGTCTTCATTAATTAAGTCGAAGCTGTCATGTCATGTCAATGAACATTGATTGTCCGGCAGCCACGATATTGCGTGACCGAAAAAAAATGTGCTAGAAAACTTTAAAAACAACTTCAATTTTAGAAATTAAAAATCATTCCACTTTTGCTTAGCTTAAATCTCACGATTAATAAAATTGATAGCTTCGTAAGATCGTAATGAAGTGCTACGCTTAAATATATTTATTCTAAAATGAAAACAAAGATATGAAAACTTACTTCAATAAATGAACATAAAAAATTAAAATGTGTGTGAGAAGTCATAAAAAATAATTAGAGATGCAAATTATTGACATAAGTAATTTTTAATCCATAAGTTATATACAAAAGAAAATGTTTTTTTTTTTAAATATAAAAAGTCTCGTGGATTCGATTGAAATTGTTTGAAAACGAAGAATTAAGACACTTCAAGTATGAAGATTGTGAAGATTATTGTGGTTAAGTATGGATTTTTTGTTTTGAAGTAAAAAGTAAATAATATTTAAATTTAATTATTGAGAGTGTTTCTAGAGTTTATTATAAATAAAGTTTGTGACGTTTGAAGTTTATGCATAAAACTAGCCAAGATACAATATTTTGAGGTATGGGGATTTTATTTGTTATTTTGTAGTGATTTTTTTCTAATATTTTACAAAAATTTGTACTTTTTTGACGTAATACTTTTAAAAAAGATTGTTATAAGCCAAAGAAAACAACACTAATTGACCCCCCAAACTTTAAATTAGCTCTACAGAGAGAAAGGCTATTTTTGGCCTAGAAAAGACCTAAACAATTGGAACGAAAAATATGAGTCGGACATATTAAGTCAAGAATTGAATGTAAAATCACCACAAATGAGCTTTTTCTGATATTGTTTTGTCAACCGAAAAGGGTCAGAGGATGAAAAATGATTTTCTAAAAGGGGGGCAATAAAGCCATGAAGGCATGAAAAAATCATTTTGGAATAACAAACATTTACAAAATAGAAAAATAATTAATCATGACTTTATCTTCCATTTTTTCCCCCGTTCTGTATTCATTTAATGAAGCATATTTCACGCAATTTAATATTTTAGCATTAAACAGGATATCGTCAATCAAGTATAAATATGTATCATTATCCTATCTCTATCTCTATTTCTGAATTTTCTTCTTCTTCTTCAAATATACGCTCAATAATCAAATATAAAAAATAAATTAGAAACGGAACCTTATCTAGCTTATAACTTGACTAGAGTCTGCCTGCATACAGGAAAATATTTATTTTGAAA